AACACAAACAATCTATAAAATATAATTAAATAACAAATAATAGTTAGACAGTGTCTATAATAGCGTGAGTAAGCCGGACATATTTTATAGGTCAGCAGTGTTCCCCCAACGGCTGTATACGTGAACATAATGCCTTAAAAGACGTAACTCAAATTGTCTTATGTAGGGTAACCATTCGGGTAATGTTATTGAAGGACAAAATCTATTACAAATTACCTCTGTAACTATTGTGTTTTAAAGGAATTCTTAGAAATGTTTACTTAGACTTCACATGTGCCTTATTTAAGAAATATTAGGCGACGACAAAGCTACATTTGTTACAGAATTGTCATATTGCCACATTACGCAATGCCTCATGTTACATATTGTCTACTGTCTGTTGTGAATGTATAGAAATTTCTGTAAATCAAAAAGTCAAATAACACTTTTACGTAGATATGCATTGGTCTAGTGTTCCTTCCTGATAATGATGAATAATATCTCGACCCAAGAATGGCTCTCATTCAGAAATAGTAAAACTAATACCTTTAAACCAGTATTATAACACACCACAAGATCATAATGACATTTTTCTATTATAGGTATTTTTAATCCTGAAATATAAAAATCGATGGTCATTCTACTTTTACGATACCTTTTATATGTCCGATGCACCTTCATCAAATAGAACACATGACACAGCTGCCATTGCTTGCAAACTTTCAGCATCTTATCTAGTAGCAATAGAACTGAAATTGGCGTAGCAAATAATTAGTGAAGTGTAAAATAAAGTTTGTCGATCGGACAACGCATTGGACGCTAGGGTGTAGTATCCGATTATAGTCCAGCCATCTCATAGTTTTTGTTTTATAATAGAGCCGTAACATAGTATAGGAGATTGGTAAATAATATTATAGCACGATGGTGGATTCGCAAGATGGGATGGATTAAACTTTGCTTTGTAGATCCTGTAAGGGTTAATGGTGCATTCACTTACCTATCTTATACTATTATGTAAAGCGGAAGAGTTTGTTTTTCTTGTTTGTTTGTTTGAACGCGCTAATCTCCGTAACTACAAGTCTGATTAGAATAATTCTGCTAATTGTCTTTTTTTCTGTTATATTTTTCAGAACTAGGTTCTATGTAATTATGTAATTTACTTTATTCAAGTGTAAATACATATTCAGTTTCAGTTCCGAGTCAGTTTCAAATTTAACATTTACGTATTTTATTTTAATACTTTATGTATAAAATAGCAAGCTTGTGTATTTTTTCCCTGTCCTACTGTGGGTAGTACAGAGACTTACGACAGTTTTCTATTCAAAATAATTATTCTATGGTTTTCTTCAGTTGGTACTTGATCGTATTCTCAATACAACAGTTACACAAACAAAATCACCAGTTCTACTTCCTAGTTCGCCAGAATTAAGATAAGTAAGGAAATTCCCGGTTGGATGTCGTTGGATATGATTTGGGTCACCCCCGAGACGGTGGTCTCTCCAGGATCAGACCCGACAAAAGGTATGAAATAAAATATCTATATTTATTGGCAAGGAAGTCCACGCCATACTTTTATGTTAGGGATCTCCGTAAATATTGTCAAAAATGTGTTATTGGGATTTGTATGTGATTTTTGCTTAGTCGAGTGGTTGGTAAATGTGATTGTTTAGCATGAGATTTGCAGTTCGATTCACTGCAAATTGTTTAAGAGCGTTTTGGATTTTTTTGTTTTTTTTTGACCGGTGTGTTAGATACTTTTATTATTGTAGGGAATTTATGTTCAATCTGCGACATTTATGGTATGGATCCTATGTGCATCTTCTGATATTTCGTTGCTGCTGTCAGTATTGCCGTCTTTAGATCTGTAAGTCTGTAGACCCTGGCTTACATGAGATGCAATGGTGTCAGGAGATTACGGTTAGCTGTTCAAAAATAAAAAAAAGCAGTATGGAATAAAAATTTAATTAAATTAAAAACATAATTTCTTAATATAGAGAAATTACACAGAATTCACGGATTATCTCGTCATTACATTGTGCATACTCGTCATAAATGATTGTCATCTCATTACACAACAATTTAGTGCGGTCAATGACCGGCATAGATTTTCGTGATAATTATTATCTTATTTGTATAGGTAACACATCAGCTAGAGTTTATTGACCTGTGCTATCCGTGCTACTGAACGATTAGCTATGCCCTTGACCGATAAATAGTAGTTAGGGTATGTATACATCGTTCCTCGTTGGCCGAGTGGTCGCAAGTGCGAGGGGTTTGGGGTAAGATTCAAGGATCGGGCAAAGTATTACTGGGTTTTAAAAAAAATCTCAGTAGTAGCACGGAGTCTGGAATTGTGCCCGGTATATGGCAATAGGCTCACCCTCTATTACATGGGACTAATAACATAAATCGTGAAAAGTGGGTGCTACTTCTGTGTGCACTTCTGCCTACCCCTTCGGGGATAAAAGGCGTGATGTTATGATGTTCTGGTATGTATACATTAGGTGAATTTTTCTTCGATATGGAAAGGAAGTGTCTCATGTGGTCTGAAAAGGGAGAATTAAATAATAAGACATGATTATTGCGCTAAACGTAAGTAATTTGGAACATGACAGGGAAATATGGCGCTTAACGTGGTATCAAACTGCAGACATCGTGATTGCTGCTCAGGAGCTCTGCAGTTTGATATACTTCTTGGGAAAGTATCCAGTTGAATGAATTTTTCTAATTCTTTTCTATTAAAGTGCTAGTCGACTCTGGTCCGATTCAGTGCTATTTTCTGATGGTTCATTTTTTCTTTCTAAAGAATCCCGTGTTACAGAGATCAAAAATAATACAGTGAAATCAATCCTCATTGACTGTGAATGGCAAGAGAATAGGAAATTGGGATTAATATCTATACAGATACATACAAACATTTTTTTTATATTTGATGGGCCGACGTTCGACTACTATGTCGCCTGGTGGTAAGCGATGACGCGGTTTATAATAGAGTACGTCGACCCATAAGCAACCTAATTACTCGGACCTTAAAGACATTCGGAAACACAGACAAAGCAAAACATTACTCATGGACCTAAGTATGTCCTAAAATTGACACCATCCACCGAAGGATGGGTAGCAAGATCCTTTTAACTATCAATGATCGTTCTATGTCCACCAAACAGCAAACCCAGTATGAGAACTATGGCAAACGTCCTAAGCGATCGGTCTTTGCCCAGCAGTGAACATTCAGGCTATTGACGATGACATACATTATACCCAAGTGTCAATAACCGACATAGATTTCCGTAATATTAAGTTACGTGTAACATATCAGTTAGAGGTCATCGACCCGCATTATTCATGCTGTTGTACGATTACTATTACCTTGACCAGTAATGTTAGATAAGATTGCGGTTGTCAAATCATTATTGACGTGGAATACACGTGTAGGGAAATTGGGGCAGTGTCCTCGTTGAAGGATTTTTTTATTCGATGGTATAGGTAGGTACTGCTGTAACATTCACTGGAGTCATAGGTATGTGAGGAGTTCCATATGGTTTGTTGACGGGGGAAATCTTCCAAAGGCGAGTAGCTTTTTGGGTAAAAAAGACTAGGGAGTGTGTGATTTTTACCTCACTAAAACCTCCGCGGTGGCCACCATCCGCACCTGAAGGAGGCACCGGGTCCTCTTAGTAGACCAACTCCGGAGTCCCCACAGTGCAACGCCTGTTACGGCACCTCCCTATGGAGACCTATGTGTCGCGGAGAACCTAACGGGTAACCGGGGCTCCGGCTCGACGTGCAGGAGAAGGAACGGGGTGGTTTTTAGTCAGTAAGAGTCTGACACTCCCTCCCGCCTCACCCAGGCGGGAGCAGCCATTCGATGATTTTCCCCCCTTAAAAAAAAGGAGACCTATGTGTCTCTCCTAGAGCTTCTCTGTGCACTTCATGGCGGCACGTGACCACTATGCCGCCGTCACCCTTGAGGTCATTAGGTGGGCCCCTAGATTATGGTACGTTTGTACCTCCAACACTTATATGTGTGGTTTTACTGACAATTTTGAAAACTAATTAATGAAAAATGCTTTGCTTAACCCCAGAACCTAAGAATAACAGTCTTTCTTATCAGTCATCTTTATTTTATGGGATAACTCCCGTAAAAAAGCCGACAGATTACCTTATGGTGAGCAATCGGCGTCGCCCATGGACACCCGTAAGACCAGAGGCGTTACAAGTGCGTTACCGGCCTTTTGGGGCTTAGGAATTTGAAGAATGTTGGATTTAGAAAGGATTTAGGGATTGGGGAGATTGAGGAAGGGGGGGAGGGGTAGTTGGGCCTCCGGTGACCTCACTAACAGGACAAAATACAACGCAAGCGTTGTTACACGTCGGTATTCTGTAAGGCCGTGGTATCACTCCAGTCGAGTCGGCCCATTTGTGCCGTTCGGCTCTCCCACACTTATTATCATCATAAATATTTTTTTATAGAAACAATAGGATAATTCTATTTTGGTTTCATGCTTTCAATAATCACTCTAATCTACTACTGACCAGCGAGCGTGTAACAAAATACTGTCCTGAAAAATTGTGAAAAAACGAATGATAAACGATTAAATAATACAAATCACCTTCTGTCAAAATTTTTAAAATTGGTTTTAGACTATTCAGGTCAATGAACTTAACAGATATGCTTATCCGTCCATATGATTGTCTTAATCACTTCATTTGGAAACGAGGCCATCAGTAAATAATCGATAAATAAAATGGATTTCATCTATTATATTTCATAAATTTAACTTAAAATTGTGAAAGTCAACCCATTTCTTTACAAACATGGTCTGTCTCGGTCCATAAGGGCGTAAGTTGTTAAAAATGTTTGCCGTCAATCACTATTTCAACCGAAACGTGTAAGAAAAGTTATCAAATTCGCCCTACACAAATTAAATATTATCTTATCGACATCAAAACCTTGATGATACGAAGAGCTCATATAAAACAAAGCTCACCAGTTATTTGGTATTAGTATCAAAATCAATATGGCTCCGTACAACTTTGAGGGAGATTTTGGTAACCTGAGCGAAAGCCAAATAGAGTTCATAAACAAAGTGATAGAAGAACAAGATTTAAAAGTAAATAAAGTGGTATTTAAACCAGTAGGACAAGCTGGAGACAATTTCGTGGCAAATGTGATGAGGATCAGCATAGAAGGAGAAAATGGAAGCATGAAGATGGTGATAAAAATTGCACCTGGAGATGAAAAGATTCGCACCACTGTTAAAGCTGATCTTTTATTTCATAATGAGCATGTCATGTACACGGAAGTTCTACCAAAGCTTGTGGCACTGCAGAAAGCAGCAGGTGTACCAGAAGAAGAGCATCTAAGATACGCTAAATGTTACGGATCTCTGAACGAAGCACCTTATGAAATTATACTCCTGGAAGACTTAAATGAATCAGATTTTAAAATGTTGAACAAGTTTGATTCTCTTTCAGATGAGTGTGTTAGAAGCATATTGAAGAACTTTGCAATACTGCATTCTGTGTCTTATGCATTGAAAGAAAAACAACCAGAAACATTTGAGTCCTTTAAAAGTAAACTAATAGATGTTTGGAGCGTAAATTTTTCGACAAAGGAAGCTAGAGATTATTTCCAACTACTTGAGAATTCAATATTGGCTAATCTTGATGAAGAGGAACATAAATCAAAATTCAAAAGTAATTTTATGGAAATACTGAAATTGCCAATCCAGTTAGCACAGGATAGAGATTGTAAATATTCTATAGTGCAACAAGGCGATGCTTGGACCAACAATATTATGTTTAAGTTTTCGGTAAGTACTTCAAACTTATTGTTATCTGTGAAAGTCGAGAGGAAAGTAAATTGAGAATTCTGACTAGCATTGTCTTTTACTTGTTTTAATTTTATTTAATTTTCAATCGCTTTTCGATATTGTATTTAGTGTATTGATTTTACTAGACACTATTTTTACACGTTGACTAATTTTTTACTATCATAAGATAAGACGGTATCATTTATTTGTTACACCGGTTTTGATAGACATTGATAGTATTTTAGTCTCGTGACATATTTTGCGATAGTGGCCATTTTGTTTTTTTTTTGAAAGATAATCTAATTATCAGAAAGTTATATGTTTATAATAGAAGGGCCTGATTCACAATGTCTCATTTAATTACTTAACTAAAATTTATATTTTATATTAAGTAAACTATAGTATTAGTCTAATTCTCATTAAATGTATTTACAGGAGGACAAATTAGAGCAGTCGGTAATGATTGACTACCAAGGATCTAAAATTAGCAATCCAGTGGGTGACATCCTCTACATGATCTTCAACTGCACCGACCACGAGACCAGGTCTATTTACTACTACGACTGGATAGACTATTACCACACCGAACTAGACAGATGTTTATCCTATTATGACCTGAAAATAAACTACATCTACCCAAGAGATCGTCTAGATGCAGATTTGAGAAGATATGGCAAAATCTCTTTTGGACTATCTTCAATGTTAACCTACGTTTTGATGAGGGATACGAAAGAAGCTGGAGAAATGCTAGAATCATTTAAGAGTGGTGATCCAAATGATGTAATACAGTTGATGGGAACCCAGACTTTACAGGGCGAAACTGTTGTTCGTACTAGAAAAAGAATAGTTGGCCTCATTGATAGTTTTAGTCAATTTGGTTTATTGTAAATTTAAAACCGCCTAAAATAATGCTATAGAAAATTGTAATGAATAGATCTACCTATGTTATAGTTAATAAAATGGTCGACACACCTAATTTATGAAGTTTAAAGGCCATTGGCCAAGACAGATATGTGACAATCATAGTACCTGACGTTTGTTCTTATAAGCAAATAAATAGTAGTAAAATAAAATATTTGTGATCTATTTTTTTCTGCCTCGTCGCCGAGTGGTCGCAAGTGCGACTACTAAGTAATAGGCTCACTCTCTATTACACAGGAGTCATAAAATATTATAGTGAAAAATGGGTGTTACATTGTACAGTGGCATTAAGTCCCATAATATGCACTTCTGCCTTCGGGAATAAAAGGCGTGATGTTATAGTATGTTATTTTTTACAGAAAGTCCCAATGATCTGATTGCTGCAAGAGTTTACACAAAATATTACGATAATCTCGATTTGATCTCTGCCTTTGATTTTTTGATCAAATGCACTTGACCTTGATCTTTTAATACACATTTAACTCGTCGAGTACCGTATTTATAGACACAATTAAAGAACAATAGGTCGCGGTCACCGGTGACCGCTTGGTGTTTGACAGTTTAAATAGGGTTCTTGATATCATCAATCCATCCCGAACATCTTGAATCTAGAAAGCATGACACTGTAATAATAATTGAATTATCATATTTATAGGTTTAACAATTTGTGATGCAGTAGATAATACTCCACCTTAAAAAGGCAACAAATTGTAGAAGCACAATACGGGGACACTGGTGTTAATAGATCAAATCTTAGTTTGAGGACCAGTATCGGGTTGCCGGAATCTTTCCTTGCTATCCTTAATCCCTGCTGGTGCTAGTATCCATGGATAGTGTCAATTACCATTAAGTGATCCGTCTGTTCCTTTGCCAACCATATTCTTACCAAAAATCTTGTTAACATTTAAAATATGTTGTGATACACTGGAACTAATTCTAGAATCAGTGATACTATTAAATTTTTAGTACTGTAGTAAAAAAAATTGGAGAAGTTCAACACTTTTTACACAGCTTGAATAATCCATTTCTTTTCCAAACCACCGCACTGTTTAAGCTCAACTTTTCAAATAAGTGTTATGTATACCTCTCATAAAATAAGCACTTTATAATTTATTTACCTACAATGATTCAACGAAAATGAAAGTAGGTAGCAATACAGTAATTGATAAAATATAAATATTTCATAATGACATTGTGTAAATGTGCCGGTTAAAGTATAAAGTCACATGATAAATAAAGCAAATCACGAAATAAAGATCAGAATTAGGTATATCACGGAAACAAAAAAGATAACTTATTTGGTTCACCTGGACAAAGGTTGATATTGGGTTGATGAAAACGATTTACTGTTACAAGATTTTCTCACATTTTGTATTATGTCAATGGACGCCAAAATTACTCATTATTTACCATGCGTACCTATATTTACATTACATTTACCATACCACCAGTAGGCGTGCGACATTGCCGCGATCGCGCACGCTGCTCATGCGGAAGAACCCCTCTGTGGTTCGAAACTAGTAGAGCTTTTCTCAGTATATTCACGTGAGAACCGGCGATTTTTAGTTAATTTATCATGCAATGGTAATAAGATTGTTGTTGAAGTTTATTTTATTATAATTAATCTAATCAAAAATATTAAGTGACATGATGATTGATGAGATATATACAGTATGGACACTGGTTTATAAATAAAAAGCAGGATATAAATATTTCTCAGGTACTAGCTATACGAGCGAATATAGCCCAATATAAGTTCGGATGTGATTTTAGTATGTATAAGTGAATGTCAACTGAAGTTTATTAACGAAGTGATTGCAAGTTTATAAAGTGATATTTGACCCATTGGGAAAAGCTGTGATAGTTTTATGTCTGATGTGAAAAGAATCTGTGTAGAAGATGATCATGGGAGCCAGAAGATGATTGTCAACGTTGCACTAGCGTTTGTAGCTATCCATTCAGTCGCAAATACAGAGTTAAATTCCTATAGAAGATACTAATCGAAGCATGAAGGTGATTGTGAAAATAGCACCTAAGTACAAGTGAAGTAATTCGGAAATCACTTCATGTGGACGCTGCATTCAACCGTGAACAAACCATGTACACAGAGGTGCTACCTAAGCTAGTGTCACTGCAGAAAGCAGCAGGCGTTCCAGAAAAAGAACAACTTAGATACGCAAAATGTTATGGATTTCAAAACGAAGTACTAAACGATAAATGAAATAAACATTAAAATGTTGAAAAGTTTGAGCCTCTACCAGAAGAGTAAGAAGAATAAGGAGCATATTAAAAAAAAATGGATTTTTCCATTCTCTTTCATAAGTATTAAAAATACAAATACCACAAAGATGCATGGGACACTCAACTTAACAATCCGAATTTTAATTAGCAGTTCCAAATGATTTTGAAAGCCGTTTTACCATTACTTGACGATGACAGTCAGAAACATGTAGAAAGAATAAGTTATCGAATGTTATTCACGAATGACTTAAGTTGTCATAACATAAGATAGTAGAGTCTTTGTTATTCGACAAGGCGATGCTTGGACTAACAATTTTATGTTCAGGTGGGTACTTGTCTTGTAATAAAAGCAGTGTAGTTCATTTGGTCACACATTATAATTAAGAGCTAATTTGGTTCATTTGAAAATCGAAAGAAAAAAAGTAAAAAAAATAAAAATTAAGCTACAAACCTTTTTTCGGCGTGCTAACTTATTATAACTCCTTAACTGTTTATCTTTTAATTGTGACTAAAATCAATAAAACACCCACCTACTATTTATAATTTTATATGTCCGTGATGTTGATATTAAAAACAGTAACACTATAACATTTTGTCTATAGGAAGGTGACTTGCGTGAATCAGTGATGATTGACTACCAAGCTTCAACGAGACATAATACAGTGACTGATATCCTCTTTATAATATTTATCTGCAGCGACCACGAGGCCAGATCAAAGAATACGACTGGATAGACTACTACCACTCAAAATTATGAATGATAATGATTGGGTTTTTTTTTTTTTTTAAGGGGGGAAAATCATCGAATGACTGCTCCCGCCTGGGTGAGGCGGAAGGGAGTGTCAGACTCTTACTGACTAAAAACCACCCCGTTCCTTCTCCTGCACGTCGAGCCGGAGCCCCGGTTACCCGTTAGGTTCTCCGCGACATAATGATTGGGTAGCACCATCTCTGTTGGTCAATGATTACAATACAAATAAGAAATACACTAGACATGCATAACATTTACTTGCGTAATAATCCAAGAATTATAAAAATAATATATTTATCCAACTAATAAACCTCGTGGTATAACTACATATGTAAATTAAACAAGAGAACAGACAGTAAAATTAGTAATCACGATGACTAGCACAATCATATCTAATCAGCCGCAAAAAATACGTAAATAAAACTATACATACGTACCTACATAAGATAAATCACGTCTATATAAACTAAAACGCAAATCATGTTACAAGTTAAATGAACACAACTGTATACAAACGAATATGTCTCAGTATAAATTTGAAGGTGAATTCTCCAATATAAATGAACGCCAACTGGAGTTCATTAACGAAGTGATTTTAAAACAGAATTTGCAAGTTGATAAAGTAATATTTGGCCCATTGGGAAAAGCTGGTGATAATTTCATGTCTGATGTGAAAAGAATCAGTGTAGAAGGTGCTCATGGGAGCCTGAAGATGATTGTCAAAGTGGCATCAGACTTGGAAGCTGTCCGTTCCGCCACAGGTACTGAATTGCTATTTACTAATGAGCATATTATGTACACAGAAGTGTTACCTAAACTATTATCACTACAGAAAGCAGCAGGAGTACCAGAAGAAGAACATCTAAGATATGCAAAATGTTACGGATCTCTGAACGAAGCACCAAACGAAGTGATAATTTTAGAAGACTTAAATGAATTAAACTTTAAAATGTTAAACAAGTTTGAGCCTCTGCCAGAAGAGTGTATAAGAATCATTTTAAAAAACTTTGGAATTTTTCATTCACTCTCGTACGCATTGAAACACAAAGAGCCTGCGACCTATGACCTCTTCAGTAGTAAATTGAAAGATACTTGGGATGTTCGAGTTAATGACCCAAATGTTGGTCTTCAATTTGAACTGCTTTTAAAAATGGTTTTACCATTACTTGACAACGACACCCAAAAAAATATAGTAAAGGATAAATTATCGAATGTAGTACAAGCAGTTCTAAATCTATCTGAGGATAAAAATAATAGAATCTCCGTCATTCATCAAGGCGATGCTTGGACCAATAATTTTATGTTCCGGTTTGAGGTGTGTACTTGTGTTATTAAAAATATAGCTATGAAACCATATTTAAATTTTAATGAATATGCGTTGGCGTTGTCAATGCCAATAATCTACATGTTTTTTCTTTACAGGAAGGTGACTTGCGTGAATCAGTGATGGTTGACTATCAAGCTTCATCGAGCCATAATCCAATGACCGATATTCTCTTTATGATCTACATCTGCACCGACCACGAGGCCAGGTCTCAGAACTTGCACGACTGGTTGGACTATTACCACTCAGAATTAGATAAATCTTTGTCCCATTTTGGCCTCAAGGCCAACGATATATACTTAAGAGATCAGTTAGATGCTGATTTAAAAAGATACGGTAAATTATTATTTGCTACAACAGTTCTTTTCAATAATGTTTTAATGAGAGATGCGAGTGAAGTAGCTGCAATGATGGAAGCCCTCAAGATTGGTGGCTTTGATGGAGTAATGGAGAACATGGACAAGCATGCAATGTCAAAAGAAACCTTTGACCGAAGTAAAAAAAGACTCTTAGATCTAATTGAAACCTATACTCAATATGATTTGTTGTAAAAAAATGGACGTCCGTGGAAATGTTTATTTAGTAATTAAAGGTATTATGTCATAGTTAAATTATGAGTAAACTTTATAACAACAATATTTGTTACTTATTTTTAATAATATGTTTTTCCCCTACTTGTCTCATAACTGTCGATAATTGTGCTACATATACATAAATTATGTTCTTCACTAAACATATTTTTGTTATTAGCGCTGTTGTTATCCATGAATCGAAACCATGCGATACTTATTATCTTTTTTATCTCTCATTCGGGTCGGTTATGGAAACAGATACCTACTTTGAACAATGGTCTCAGATTTTTGTCAACTGGCATGGCACTCATTAATCATGACAGTTGCTAGTCAATGAGTGCTTACTCACACCTCAAATAATTTAAATAAAGTGGCGAGAATGATTGACCACCGGAGTGGCAGATGTTTGGGTTTTCTTGCTTTTGAACATGATTCTATACAATAATAGTTTCAAGAAATCCGACGAGTAAGAAAACATTATTTAGAATGGATAATCGTTTATGAAGTTCAGATAACGCTTTTGCAGTTCGTCTGTTATTAAAAACAATTACCAACAATTTACCCAGTGCAACCAACAGAGAACAGAATCAATACTAACGATGACCAGAATAATCAGTTATCTAATCTTTAACAAAAATAACAAAACATTGCAAGATATAAGATATAGCAAGTCTATATAAACTAACACACAAATCATAAGTAAAAGTATTTTGCCCGCACGAACCAACATACAAACGAATATGGCTCAAATCAAGTTTGAAGGTGATGTCACCAATATAAACGAACGACAACTGGAGTTCGTCAATGAAGTGATTGCAAAACAAAATTTACAAGTCGAAAAAGTGATATTTAATCGGATGGGAAAAGCTGGTGACAATTTCATATCTGACGTAAAAAGAATTGTCGTAGAAACTAAAGATGGAAACCTGAAGATGATCATTAAAACAGCTCCAGCTATGGAAGTTCTTCGTTCCTCATTAAACACTGACTTAATGTTCAAAAATGAGCATGTTATGTATACGGAGGTGTTACCCAAGCTATTGGCGCTGCAGAAAGAAGCAGGAGTACCAGAAGCAGAACATCTGAGATTTGCAAAATGCTACGGATCTCTAGACGAAGCACCAAATGAAGTCATACTTCTGGAAGACTTAAATGAATCGGATTTTAAGATGTTGAACAAGTTTGATCCTCTGCCAGAAAATTGTTTACGTAGCATCCTAAAAAACTTTGCAATACTTCATTCTCTTGCGTTCGTATTGAAAAATAAAGAACCAGAAACTTATGATCTCTTCAAGAGTAAATTGAAAAATACTTGGGAACCCAAATATAAAGATCCAGATTTTGACCTTCAATTCAAAATGTTTAATAAAGTGAACTCACAGTTACTTGACAACGACAGTCAAAAAGAGATTTTGAAAAATATGCTGACAGATGTATGTAAAGAAATAGAAAATTTATTAAAGGACAAAGATAACAAATATTCCGTTATTCAACAAGGCGATGCTTGGACGAACAATTTTATGTTCAAGTTTGAGGTGAGTACTATTTTTTACCGACTTCAAAAAAAGGAGGAGGTACTAAGTTCGGCTGATTGATTTTTTTTGTAGTGCTTCTAATTTGTTTTTCAATGAGTATGTTTAAACACTACAATTTGATAAGGGTCTGGAGTCGACCTGATGATGGAGCCGATAGACAGTCGAGGGAACTCCTCAACGGTTTATATTAATTACCTTGCGTTTGAGCTTGATTAATTTGTATTGATGAGGACTTTACACCTAGATAGAGTGGGACTGTCATTAAGGGTCTGATGATGAAGAAGCTCATATCATAATGATGTAACTTAATAAACTAATAAAATGCTAAATTGTAAATGAGGTATCTATTAAGGTTTTAATGAATAATTTTGTATAGAACTTATGGCGCCAACTTCTAACCTATCAGCGGATGGGTAACCTATCAGTACTAATAATAGTTATTTTTGCATTTTAGTTTTTACCTTATGTTTGTTATTAGTTTTTTGTTTTTTGTGTTATTAATTAAGATGAATTTTAATGCTATAACGACCCTTCTATAAGGTGATTTATGACAAGGATATTAGTTAGAAATTACGAATGCATTCCCACAGGACTTTACAATTTTGCTATTGAAATAACGTGTAGAATATTCGTAATAATATTTCTATATGACACAGAACTAGCAAAAACTAGTATAAATTAAAAATCATTAGCAAATTGATAACATGAGCTTTCTAATTCTAGGAGGGCGAGTTACGTGAATCAGTCATGATTGACTACCAAGCTTCAGCAAGTATTAGTCCAGCTTCCGACCTTCTTTTCATGTTCTTTAATTGTACTGAACACGAGACCAGGTCTAAGAATTTCATTGCCTGGATAGACTATTACCACTTGGAATTGGACAAATCTTTGTCATATTTTGATCTAAAAGCTGATGACATCTACCCAAGAGATCAGCTAGATGCTGATTTGAAGAAATATGGGAAAATATCATTTGCTATAATTATTCTTTTTACTAATCTTTTAATGAAGGATTCAAGTGAAGCTGGAAATTTACTAGAAGCTTTACAGAATGGGGGCATAAAAGAAGCAATGGAAGAAATGGGTAAACGGAAAATGAATAAAGAAACTGCAGAACGAGTCAGACATAGGATTGTGGGTCTAATTGATTCTTACATACAGTTTGGTTTACTGTGAAATTATAAAATTAGTGCATTTGGGATATAGTTTGTCATTGTGATTATATTTTAGTTGAAGAATATTCCATCTTGTCGTTTTATTTCGTATGGTAAAATATTAGCTAACTCTTGCATCATCGAATTCAAAGAGGCTTTTGATACTTATGGCTGTTTGATTGAAGTCAAACAAATAATTCCATTTATGGGTTACAGTTTTAGGATAGTTAGTTCTGTACCATAAATAATAATAATTGAAACAAATTCAAAGGATGATGACACTTCTGAAGATTTTCACAAATATGTTCAACGTTGTTCAGTATATGACAATCTAATCTAACCTCATCAATAGATCAAACTCTAGTAACAAAGTATTTCAAGTGACATAATCCGTCTCAGACTTCCTGATAAGGGAATTTGATCCTTTGATAGATAACATTTGAGTTGAACTCACTGCGGTATTTTTGAAGACGATAGTGAAAAATATATCGTAACGTTAGCAACGTGAGACTTAATTATTAATTAAAGATGCTAAATTAATTATAGATGCCAACGATTGTAATAAAGTTAAATTTACAATAGCAAAGATTGTGAAAGTGATTGAAAAAGAGTACATTATTTGTAATTTGTGTCCGATCTTCTTCAAAAGGATCTACACTTAACAATGAATGAATATTATAATATATATTTAGGGACTTCGATCTAGAATATATACATCACGCCTTTTATCGCCGAAGTACTGTACAATGTAACACCCACTGTTCACTATTTATGTTATGAATCCCATGTGACTGACTGACGGGACTGCAATCTGTTTTGAAAATTAATTGATTGTATCATTTCCCAAAATGGACCATAAAGAACTTTAACTTATGTATGTGTGACCTGTATGATGAAATAAGTATGTTTTTTTTACAAATACCTAATGCAAGTGCTTTCCACGTGACCAGTGTTTTTGACAATGATATGGTAATCAATGTAGTTACTGAAATGACAGTAGACAGTGAGATAGTAAGAGATAAAACATTTGTTTTGATAGATAATAAAGTACTATACATCGAATACTTTAAATAAAGTTCACCTACGACACAGGAGAAAATCCTAGCGTGGGCAAGGCCTTAAAAAAATGCGATTCCCCAGAAACACACACCTTAGAAGGCTCACGCTTGAACACAATTCCGATCGATCGACATTGGTTTTTTAAAATTTCGTACTCTTGAGTTGCAACACTGGTGTCCATTGCATCTGTATTGCGCGAATATTTAATGAACTAAATAGTATTGAGTTTGCCTATAGATTCCGTACCGTACTCTGAATACTATTTTAACAGCTACGATAGAGGTTATATAGTTTTGACATTGAATAAATTATTGAGATTTTAGAGATTATTTTGTAAGTACTCAGGTATTGCTATGGTGATGACAATCTTGGTGATGACTGATTGATGATGGTGATGATGGAGAATGGCTTTGATTCTAATTAAAATAGCACCAATCACCCTTTACTTTATGGAAATAATATTAATCTGAAAAAATGTGGATGCTACATTGATGTTGGTCCATCTTTGCTGATCCCTCTTGATAGTCCACAGATTATAATCATGTTAACGACTTAGAAATATAAAGTGATTATAAAAACATTCTCACTGGCCGAGTGGTCGCAAGTGCAACTGTCGGGCAAGGGGTCTCGGGTTCGATTCCCGGGTCGGGCAAAGTGTTACTGGGTTTAAAAAAAATCATTTGTAGCGTGGAGTCTGGAATTGTGCCTAGGCTCACCCCTTATTACATGGGATCATAATATAAATAGTGAAAAGTGGGTGTTACATTGTACAGTGGCATAATGTGCACCTCTTTCTACCCCTGCGGGGATAAAAGGTATGATGTTATGTTATGTTAAATATAAAGTGATTAAAAAAGAGTTGTTACATTATTTATATTTTATTATATTTAATTATATTGGTTTATTTATTTGCTCATTTATTAAAAGTCCTATGACACGAATAAAAACAGCAATTCGCCTTGGTTTTCTTCAGGTGTTGTTTCCCGATTCTGCTTTGTGTGTGTTTGTAAGTAACAATTATTGCGATTACTCTTTTCTATACCTAAATACATACACACTTCATTTATTCCTACGTCTCTTACTCTATTATTACGTACTGGAACTGTCCATATTTCTTATTCACGTGTTACGTTTTTTTAAGTATTAATAAAAATATTCGCATTAATATAATAATTATGGTTTTCTTATCTTATCTGATAATTTGAGATGCTTTCAATGCACTGTCCTTATTACATATTATTCCTCTTGTTAGTTTTTATAAACTAATAATATCGTTATACATTTTTTACTCTTAATTCGAGACTAAAATGGTTTTCTTTCACCGTTGCCTATTAGGATGTCATAATATCATTAAGTACATTCTCATTATTTACTGATGAACCAAAATAAACGAATGAACTGAGCAATAATTGGGTCACTCCCGAATACTGAAAGGTCCACCTTTCTTTTTCTGGACGTTCTCTTCCTTTGTCCATCCATATTTTTAAATTCAGTACTGATTTTGTTATTAAGTGTTGTAAAGTCTAGCAGGGATTGTTTAAAGACTACAAATCGATATCTTATCGTAATACGTTAAACATTTTATCATACAATGCATTATTACTGATACAGATGACTTATAAGTAACATGCATTCTGAATTAATTAATCATATATAATTTATTTCACATTTAATCATGGCTCAATACAAGTTTGAAGGTGATTTTGAAAATATAACTGAAACGCAATTGGATTTTATTAATAAAGTGGTACAAGAACAGAATTTAGATGTCGATAGAGTCGTGTTTCTTCCTGTTGGAAAACCTGGTGATAATTTTGGATCAAACGTGAAAAGAATTAGTATAGAAGGTAAGAAAGGAATCATGAGAATGATTGTCAAAATAGCACCGACAGATGAAGTTCAACGCCAGATGTCCTTAACTGAAATTCTATTTAAAAATGAACACTTCATGTATATGAAAGTGCTACCAAAATTTTTGTCTCTACAACGACATACACTTGACCTGCAAACACCAGAGGAAGACATGCTACGATTCGCAAGATGTTACGGATCTTTCACTGAAGCACCCAACGAGGTCATAATTTTGGAAGATTTATGCGAATCGAAACACGTAATGTTGGACAAGTTTCAGCCACTGACTTCTGAATGTATGCAGAGTGTCCTAAAGTCCTTAGCAGCTTTTCATACTCTTTCGTATGCATTGAAGCAGCAAGAACCAGAAACATTTGCTTATTACAAAAGTGAATTAGTAGATGTGTGGGGTCTAATGGCTCACAATCCAGAATTCAAAACGCATACTGAAACTTTTATAGGAGTAATCCAGGCAATACTAGATGGTGATGATAATAAAAAAGTAGTGAAAGATAAACTGTCTGATATAGTTCAGCTAATAATCAAATTAGCTAAATGGGAACAGAATAATAAACATTCTGTGATTCTTCAAGGTGATGCGTGGACAAACAATATCATGTTCAAAATTTGGGTATGTATTGAATTTGTACTATTTAATGAGAATTCAAATTATTATAAATGGCATACAGTTGACGGTGTGTCTTGGATGACTGGTTGTTACTTTGGCCAAAGTCAAATGTCCAGTTTGGCAGATAGTGAAATATTTATATCTTATAATCTTTTTGTGCAGTTTTAAAATTTAACTAAAGTTCAGAACGACTGAGTGGTCTTTTTATTATACGAAACTCTCAAATATGTTTCAAAATTACATTGACCTATTATAACATGTTTGTCTTGTTTCAGGATGACAAAGTTCAGACAATCATGATCGATTTCCAAGGATCAGCCAACAGTAACCCAATGGTGGACGTCCTCTACGCAATCTTCAACTGCAGCGATAGGAATACCAGAGCACGTCACTACTACGTCTGGTTAGACTACTACTATTTAGAATTAGACAAATCTTTATCAAACTTTGGTCTGAAATCCAATTACATCTATCCGAGAGACCAAATGGATGCGGATATGAAGAGATACGGAAAACTTATATTTGGAATGTCAGTAATGTTAGCTAATATTCTAATGAGGGATACAAATGAGGCATCAGAACTTATGGAAGCAATGAATACTACAACTGATATGAATGAACTAATGGAGTCTATGGGAAACCAAACATTAAACCATGAAACTATTCTCCGCGTTAGGAGCAAAATAGAAGAACTTATTGATTGTTTTACTCATTATGGATTAATTTAAACAAGATACCATGACCATCCTCATAAAATGTAAAAAAAAATTAGGTATTTATTTATTTTTTAAGTAGTCACAACGCCAGAAAATTAAAGGAGACGGATACCCTTTCATACAATTTTGGGCCTAGATGTAAAAAGATGAAATTAGTGTCAATTGATAGCCACTATATAAGCAAACAATCACTGAAAATTTTGCAGATTTTGGCAATCTGAGAGCCGAGGTATAAGAGATTTAAGAAAAGTGAGGTTATAACAATATATACACGGTAATAACCCATTTTTAAAGTGCGATTGTTGTTAGTGTATTGCAGCGACTAGTCGCTATACAACAATTTATACAACGATCCATGATGTCGATCAATATCCTATTGGTAGGCCGTTCGTAGAATCCAAAATAACAAGTCCAAGTTCAACGTTTAAGCGGGGTTCTCGGTGTCCAGTATGGTAGCAAGGCAAGGGTCGTAGAAGGAGGAAGATCACAGGTCCGTAGGAAAGCCGGGTCGAGGAATAATAATTATCAACAAAATCAAAAACAAAACGGGAAGAAAACAAATGACACTCAGAACGCACACGCACAGACGATACGCAACGAATGTCGATCGATATCATAGAGCATGATTGCATGTCAAGTCAGAGTTAGCACAGATTAAAAATACAATAATCGATTAGTAAATGTGAATTGTCTAATATTAATTATGTAGATAACTAATTAGTTTTAACTCTTAATACTCTAATTCTAATAGATTTTATTATCAATACATAGTATAAAACAAAGTCGCTTTCGCTGTATGTCCGTATGTATGCTTAGATCTTTAAAACTACGCAACGGATTTTGACGCGGTTTTTTTTAATAGATAGAGTGATTCTTAAGGAAGGTTTGTATGTATAATAAATGCATATTGCACCCGTGCGAAGCCGGGGCGGGTCGCTAGTTTTAATTAAATAAATCAACAGGTGAAAGCATTTTCGTAAATAGTATGAACTCTGTAACGTTAATCGATTACAATTGAATCGATAATTCGTAACCCTAACATAATTATTGGATTTTTCATTTCCCAGATTGCAAATTGAATTGATTTTTTACAGTATGAAATAGAAAAAAAATACCTTTTTTTTAAGCCATAATTCAACTTATTACAATTGGGCCCACAAGTCCCAGTCTCCTTACAGTAACTGACATATTTACAACAATAAAACATAAACAAAAGAAAAAGAAAAGTAAAACTTAGTTAAAACAAGAGTTTACAGTTTTATTACTCTTGTCCTTATCCTTCAAAAATGCCTTACGGTTCCTACTTGATGAACGTTATAATTATGCCATTTAGTTTCCTCAATAAGTATTACCTCTTTATAGTTTCAAATCTTAATCTTTACCTAGATTATTGTTATTGTAAGGTAGTAGTATATTTTACTCAATTTTATTTCATAGTTAAAATAATCTGTAAATGTAACTAAAGACAACAGATACAACAACAACTATAGATGTATGTATATGTCCATATAATAACAAAAACAATTCTCTTTATCATATTAGTATAGAGATGGTATGATTATATATCGGAACGCATAGAATGATCTTGTTAATATACATATTTTGCTTCAAAGTCAATTACGTCATAATTTTTATTTATCTTTGGTGTCAGTACTTTATACTTTCATTCATAAATAATATGACCATGTCAGTAAGTTCAGTTTTTATACATATCACAATTTTTATGTTTATTTATTTATATCCATCGCAACGCTCAACGTGCATAGCATTGGTGGATATTTAACGAAAAAGCCTTATCTAATCAAATTCCGCTAAACTGTTCATCATACGATGCCTCATTACTGATATAGACGACACAGTATAAATGAAGTTTAATCAAAATTAAATTATCATAAATAATTTGGCTTCCACACATTCAATCATGGCTCAATACAAGTTTGAAGGTGATTTTGAAAATATAACTGAACCTCAATTGGAGTTTATCAATAAAGTGATACAAGAACAAGATTTAGATGTCAATAAAGTAGTATTTCTTCCTGTTGGAAAACCTGGCGATAATTTTGCATCAAACGTGAAGAGACTCAGTATAGAAGGTAATAATGGAAACATGAATATGATCATCAAAATAGCACCTTCAGGTGAAGCTCAACGCATGACGTTTATGTCTGAAATTGTATTCAAAAACGAACATTTAATGTACGTAGTAATACTGCCGAAGCTCCAGTCCCTACAAAAAGAAGCAGGTGTACCAGAAGAAGAACTTCTACGATTCGCAAAATGCTATGGATCTTTCACTGAAGCACCAAACGAGGTCATAATTTTGGAAGACTTATGCGAGTCTGATTATGTAATGTTGGACAAATTTGAATCACTGTCGGATGAATGTATGAAGAGTGTATTAAAATCTTTTGCCATTTTTCATTCTCTCTCTTACGTGCTAAAGCACAAGGAACCAGACACATTTGAATATTATAAAAGTCAATTGTACGATGTATGGAGTCTAATGGCTGAGAATCCAGTATTCAAAACACATACTGAGGTATTTGTAATGGCAGTCCAAGCTCTATTGGAAGAAGAAGAGCATAAAAATATTGTGAAAAGTAAATTAGCTGAAGTGTTTAATCTACTGACTAAACTAAATAAATGGGAACAAAAGAATAAACATTCTGTCATTCAACAAGGCGATGCGTGGACCAACAATATCATGTTCAAAATTGGGGTAAGTATTTGCATGTCTGGTTTTAATGAGAAGTTAAAATAATTTGAACTATACTCTCTTTGCCTTTACTTATTCCTTAGATGCGATAGTTTAGCTGCAATTTGGTAGATTGAAAACATAAAGTGGTTAAAAATTAAAAGTATAAAGTCTGTTTCTCTATACTTGCAGCCCAAGTTACACAGTCAGTTTAAAAAAACGCTGTGTAATTAGATCATGTAGACGACTGTTGAATAATTTTTGAAGCTCAGACAGTTGTTGTGTAATTTGTCACATACAAAGCCGCTGTTATTACCTAGTACACTTTAATCATTTTGATAACGACCCAATTTCGCTTTGACGTCATTGATTAGTATCGAGTTACACAGAAAAATATAATGATAATTTTTAAATATTTTCCTTACGAATTTCAAACGACGCCGACGGTGTCCCTTTACTGTAGAATATTCTATTGAAAATCTGTATATACCTATATATTTTCAAACTAGTAAATGAGGATGGTAATTTACCTTCTATCAAGAATTATTGTACTATTGATCGAAATAATTTATCTAGTTTTGATGTATATGTAGGTTATGTATTATCCTTCAAAATTACATCACACCATTTGAACATTATGTTAATATTCAATTTTCAGGAGGACAAGGTGCAAACGGTCATGCTCGATTTCCAAGGATCAAAGAACAACAATCCAGTAGCTGATCTCCTCTACGTCATCTTCAACTGCACCGACCATGAAACACGAGCCAAACACTTCTTCGACTGGATAGACTACTACCATGCAGAATTAGAAAACTCCTTATCGAACTTTGGCCTTAAAGCCAACTACGTCTACTCAAGGGATCAATTAGACGCAGATGTTAAGAGATACGGTAAATTAACGTTCGGAATGTCTGTGATGTTGGCTAACCTTTTAATGAGGGATACAAACGAAGCATCAGAGCTGTTGGAAGCCATGAAAACTACAGCTGATATGAAAGAATTAATGGAGTCCATGGGCAGCCAAGTACTGCAACACGAAACTATAATTCGTGCTAGAAAGAAAGTTGTAGACCTTATTACGAGTTTTTCAGAGTTTGGCTTGTTTTAAATGAATTGTGGTTTCAGTTCAGTCTTAGTAATAGGAATGTTCCTATTCATGAAAGTCAAATTAAAATAGTATAACTAGAGCAGGTACCTCTCTTTAGATGTCGGTTGTCCTTCGTCCGTCCTCATGGAAAGGAAAGTCTTGACTTGGACTATGATTATGCGCAAGATATGAGATGAGGATACTCTGTGTAATTTATCTAAATTATATTTTTTACTTCTTACATTTTGTGTTTTAATGGTAAAACATTAAATAAATCCAGAAAGTACAAACAGAACTATGTCCTTTATGCAAGTATAATTGCCAGGTTAAAGGACTTCGGTTTGATTACTGGGTGAAACAAGTGTATGGCAATAAGTTCACGCCTTATAAATGGGACTTGTATGAAAATAAATAGTGAAATGAGGGTGTTGTATTGAGTATTGTATAATGCGACTCTGGCTGCCCCTCCAGAAATTAAAAGCCGTAATGTTAAGTTTTGTGAATGTAGATGAGAAAAAATTAATCCACAAAAATTAATCAAAAAAATGCTTTTACACAGTCTACCACAAAACTAACTACTGACCTCTACGTTTTATGTATTGTAAACAACAGCGATTGTAGTTCCTTTTACGCATCACAGATAGCGCTGTTATAAAGTTCTTTATCCGAATTGATGCAGTAATCTTGGAGTTCATCCCCAGTATACAAACAAACCGGTATCAACTGATTAAGGTATGAAAGATTTTGATAATACCGATAAGATATCAATATTTTCATGCTACGCAAAATAATACATTAATAGATAGTAAATAGTAATTCATTTAGTGGTCTTATTAAGTAAATACAAATCATCATGAGAATATTAATTAAGTTTCTTTGAAATAAATGACTTATCTTAAAACAAGTCATTTTATTTGAATGAGACTACAATTATATCCGTTTCCTTAAGGTGTTGTAACAATATGACGAGTGAAGTCAGAAATAAAATTAAAATAGTATAAAATAACATCACGCCTTTTATCTCAGAAGGGGTAGGCAGAGGTGTACATTATGCCTACCCCTAATTATGCCTGCCCGAGAAGCACTAATTCTATGGATTGTCAGTATGCATATGTGAGCACCATGTTGGACTTCAAGATTTTTATATTTTTTTAATTTTAGTAAGTTATTAGTATAATTCGTCAAGCATGTCTTTGCATTGTTCTTACATATGCGTACAGTATTGAAATATGTATCAGAGACATTGTAGAACATACTTTTTTTAAAAAGAGTAACGAATGGAGTTTCTTGCTCGTTCTTCTCCATTCGAATCTACTTTTTGGAATGAGCACCTAGCTTCACCTAGTTTCACTGACGGACTGACTGACAGACTATTATTTATTTTGTATTTGTTGACGTTTCAAAAGCACCAAACTATGGTTTAATTGAAATAAGTGCTTTGACTTTGACTTTTGACTTTGCCACTGTACAATGTAACACTCACTCACTTTTCACGATTTATGTTATGAGTCCCATGTAATAGGAGGTGAGCCTATTGCCATATACGGGGCACAATTCCAGACTCCGTACTACTACTGAGATTTCTTTTAACACCCAGTAATACTTTGCCCGACCCGGGAATCGAATCCGAGACCCCTTGCCCGGCAGTCGCACTTGCGACCACTCGGTGGTATATGGCAATTGGCTCACCCCCTATTACACGGGACTCATAACATAAATATTGGAAAGTGGAAGTTACATTGTACAGTGGTATTAAGTGCCGTAATGTGCACCTCTGGGTACCCCTTCGGGGATAAAAGGCGTGATGTTATGGTATGTTATGGTAATACAAATCTCATAAAGTTAGATGCCTGTACTAGGACAATCCGGTATCGCAGGAATTAATGAGATAAAATACTTTACCTGCACCCAAAATATTACTTAAACTAAGTTTAGAGTTACACGCGTTCAGTAAAATTTTGCTAATTCAATGAGCGAAAATCTTATAATAGAGTAAGTTACAAAAAATACCTACGTAGAAAGGTTCTCGAAAAGAAAATGTCTTGAATATACTATACAAGAGTAAATTAAGAAATAGGCACATTGACTTACGGGGAAGCGAAACTAACACTCAGTTTGTTAGGCTCTTCAATAAAAAATTGTGAACGTGATGAATATTTATTGAAATATTTATAACTACTGATATAAATAAAAAATACCAGTAATAATGAAGCTTCAATTAATAATATCTAATCTTAACTTACATTTATAAAAGGTATGGTGACAGGACATTTGTGATCCCGGTGGGGTATAAATACTTTAATATGCATTCAATATAATCATTGAGCGACAACCACTAGTAAAAATGGCCCAGTTCAACTTTGAAGGAGATATCGCAGGACTAAGCGACCGCCAATTAGAATTCGTCAATAAAGTGGTTTCTGAACAATATTTGAAAGTGAACAAGGTGGTCTTCGAACCACTTGGAAAAACTGGTGATAATTTCATGTCGAACGTGAAGAGAATCAGCATTGAAGGAGAAGATGGAAACTTGAAGATGGTCGTCAAAATCGCGCCGAAAGAAGAAGTCATTCGAGCCTCCACTCATACTCAAGTAATGTTCACTAATGAGCATATCATGTACAAGGAAGTGCTACCTAAGTTTGTGTCGCTGCAGAAAGCAGCAGGAGTACCAGCAGAAGAACGTCTAAGATACGCAAAATGCTACGGATCTCTAAACGAAGCACCCGATGAAATGATATTATTAGAAGACTTGAATGAATTGGATTTTACCATGCTGAACAAGTACGAGTCTCTTTCCAATGAATGTGTTAAGAGCATTTTAAAGAATTTTGCAACACTGCATTCTCTTTCTTATGCATTAAGACATAAGGAACCAGCCGTATACGAGCAGTTTAAGAATAAATTAACAAACACTTGGCCATTGATGCCCCAGAGTCCAGTGTTTGCTATGCAAATCCAACACGTAGAAATGGCAGTTTTGTCGTTGCTTGATGACGAGACTCATAAGAGCCTGATTAAGGGTAAATTTGAAGGAATGTTCAAATTGATGACGAAGTTGGCGAAGGAAGAGGATGGAAAACACTTTGTGATTCAACAAGGCGATGGGTGGACCAACAATGTTATGTTTAGATTTCAGGTAAGCAATGCATTAAATTTTTTAATAATACATTCCTGTTGAAATGGACGGGATGTGGTACCCTAGCGTACGGGTGGCGCGTCGCGTTCCGTGCGCATCTAAAAGAGCCGTCACCCTGATGGCGATATGGGGCCGCGGTGGACTTAACGGGGTTTTAGACAGTAAGAGTCCGACACTCCCTCTCACCTTACCCGGGCGGCAGAGGGCATTGGATGATTTTCTCCCCTTACAAAAAAAGACTGATTGTGTTACTTTCCTCAAAAGCATATTACCGAATTGAGCGAAATGAAAGCTTTATATTGATAATACAATATGTTTCATCGTGCATCTCCACACAAGTCTCTGAAGGTATACGTTACGTGAAGAATAAATGTTTTGAAAATATATAGCTATTTTAGGTAAAGTAGATTTAAAGTGTGAAACATAAAATTATTCAAATTTTAATTACAGTATTTATCTGTTTCCAGGGTGACAATTTGATGCAGTCGATCATGATTGACTACCAGGGATCTGGCAACAACAGGCCTGTATTCGACCTTCTCTACATGATCTTCAACTGCACCGACCATGAGACGAGGTCCAAGAACTTCTACGACTGGCTGCAGTACTACCATACTGAGTTAGACAGATCCTTATCCAACTTTGGTTTGAAAGCCAACTATTTTTACCCAATGGATCAACTTGATGTAGATTTGAAGCGATATGGAAGATCAGTCTTTGGTTTGTGTCTGATGCTGTCAAATATCTTGATGAGGGATTCAAAAGAAGCTGGAGTTATTATGGAAGCTCTTAAAAGTGGTGGTATTGAAAAGACGATGGAGGCATTCAGTAGTCACTCGTTGCAATCAGAAAGTGTAGTTCGTGGTAAAAAGAGAATTGTTGGACTGATCGAAAGCTTTACTCAGTTCGGTTTGTTGTAAGTTTCAAAATGTGCCTTAGATTAATTAGTCAGTATAATTGTACTATGTATAACAATCTATTATTAATTTAGTGTGTGAATTAAATGTTGTCTGACAAAATTGTTGGACTTTTTAGTCATAGCTTTACCCCTCGCTCCAATTTTTTAATATCCATTGCTTAAGAGTGTAGTGAATAAGTACTGAGTGATAACGTTATTGCCAGTGCTTTAAAACAATGTATTCAATAAATATTTAAGATTGTTTAAGCGCAAAACAACATCAAAACACTTATTTACCGAAAGCACAGCTTTATGATAAATTATTTAGCTTAATAATTCTACGACTATTTGAAAACGTGTAGATAGGCTACATGTTCTGGAGATACATGAGAAACATTTTGTTTAAAGCTAGTTTTTTAATTTTTGCACTGCCTTAACCAAACTGTAAATAACACTGTATTTTACACGGAACTATTATCATTTGCCCTCAACAACCCATTAAAGGTAAAACTCCTTTCTTAGTTTTACAATTTTGAAGCCTACCAATAAAATAGTCATAGGTATACCTATAAAATAGTCATAGGTATACCTATGACTATTTTATGTATACCTATGACTATATTGGGTGTCATCATAAAATAGTCATAGGTATACCTATAAAATAGTCATAGGTATACCTATGACTATTTTATGTATACCTATGACTATTTTATGATGACACCCATTCATATTTAGTTACTGTAGGACTCAAAACCACGTCGACTTACATAACATCAAGTCGTACAGTAACACAGAGTACTTAATCTTTATTATCTCTATTTGTTTTTCCACGTACACAGAGTGCATTTTGATAGTAACAATCTAACACATATTCTTAGTGGAATGAATAAACATGTAATTTTACATTATACCATTAAACATTAAAGTTCTCAATTATCGCATTTATATAGATTTATTTTTTATTTAATTTTTAAGCAGCATGCCGAAAATTTAAACCATATGCCTTAGCATTTGGTTTAAGTTTTCGTGTGATATGATTTTTAATATGATTTACTTGACTGTTAGTCCTATGTCCCCTAGATGGGGCAGAGGGCATCCACAGAGGTTCCCCATCTCGGTCGGTCCTGAGCTTCTCGCTTTACCTCGCTTAACGTCATTCCGATGCCTGCTGCCTCTGCCATCACAGTACGATGCCAGGTTTGCCGAGGACGGTAACGCTTCCCTTTTCCCAGGGAATTCCAATACAGGGCTTCGTTGAAAATATGGTCGGGATCCCTTCGGAGCATATGGCCTATCCATCCCCACTTGCGTCGTTTGATATGACGGTCCATCGGGGTTCGGGCCAGAAAATAACGCAGGAGGAAAAGACGTAACCTGCGGTTGACGAAAACTTCGTTTACTTTAAAATTTTCATTGAGTTGAGCCTAATTCCGTAGTAGCTAAAATTGGGATGCAAAGCATACAAACATGCAATATTATGTATTTGTTTGTTTGTTTGTTTGTACAAGGAGTACAAACAAACAAACACGGCGGTTAAAACGGCTAAAGGGTTCCCGATGAACAAGGGAACAGGACAAGATTATGGTCTGTAATAACACATGGACACTTTTCATTTCACGCTCTTAATAATTATTAAAAGAATAAAATTCTTATTGCTGTTGTCCCTTTCAAAAAGTGCTCTTGCAGCTATGATGCCACAAAACCTAAAAACTTAAATAATGCCCAAAAACCAGTAACATTTAATTACAACATTTTCTTTTATTTAAAAAAATAATGTACTATTTTACACTAAATATACAACAACATACCAACCGCACCACTTTTTTTTATACCTATTAACATTTATTCTGAATTCATACACAATTGATCACAGTTTGGAAACTTAACATGGTAACAAAACACATGATATAAACAAATCAATTCATTTAGATAATTTATAGAACCTTCCATATTTTATAATAACCCTAACTCGATAAAACTTTCAACGATCCCCGTGATTCGCTTTTTAGCTCGAACTGCAGTGTCCTTTGGTATTTCAGTATTCGCCAGCACTTCAATAGCCTCATCAAAACTACCGCTGTTAAGGGTCTCCATCATCTCAGCAGCCTCTTCCGTATTCCTCGTAAAAATATTGGTCAGCATAATACATATCGCGAACAATAAGTCTTTGTATTTCTTTATATCTGCATCTAATTGCCTTCTTGGATATACTGAATCAGCTGACAAATCAAAGTAGGATAATGAACGGTCTAGTTCTGAATGGTAGTAATCTAACCAGTCGTAGTAGTGCTTTGACCTCGTCTCATGGTCAGTGCAGTTGAAGATCATAAAAAGAAGATCCATTACAGGGTTGCCGTTCTTTGATCCTTGGTAGTCAATCATTATTGATTCTTCTAGCTTTTGTCCCTGTAAGCAAACATAAAATCAATAATTAATTCAAGTGCAACTTTTCGAAGTAGGTTGAAAATATGAACGGACAAAATAGCGTCAGTTATTATTTCGCACATTTTTCTTAGTTTTGAGTAATAATAATATTTAGACTAGTATTAGTTAGATCTAAAAAGGACGTATAAAAAAACCGACACATGCACATAACATTACGCCTTTTATCCCCGAAGGAGTAAGCAGAGATGAACATTACGGCACTTAATGCTACTGTACAATGCAACACCCACTTTTCATGTTATGAGTCCCGTCCCGTGTAATAGGGGGTGAGCCTGTTGCACAATTGCAAATTCCGTGCTACCACTGAGAAATAAAAACAATATCCCAGTAATACGTTGCCCGACCTGGGAATCGAACCCGAGACCCTTGCCTAGCAGTTGCACTTGCGACCACTCGTCCAACGAGCCAGTCAGACAAAAAAAAAGTAAAACGAAAATCAAAATGTCACTCACCTCGAACTTAAACATCATATTGTTCGTCCAAGCATCGCCTTGTTGTATAACAGAGGATTCATCAGTCAAAGCGTCTTCTGAAAGTTGCAGCAGCAGTCCAAACATTTTCTCGATTTTACTCTTTATTATATTCTTATGTTCCTCATTATCAAGAACCGATAACATGATGATTGTACCATTTGCGAATTGTTGTGTTAACACTGGATTCCTTGCAAGGATATCCCATAGATTAATCAATTTGGTTGTAAACTGATTGTATGTCTCTGGTTCTTTAGTCTTCAACACGTAAGAAAGAGAATGCAGCGTCGCAAAGTTTTTTAGGATGCTCCTTACACACTCGTCCGTCAGGGACTTGAACTTACTCAACATTACAAATTCTGATTCATTCAAATCTTCTAACATTATTACTTCGTTCGGCGCTTCACTCAGAGCTCCGAAGCATTTTGCGTATCTAAGATGTTCTTTTTCTGGTACTCCTGCTGCTTTCTGCAGTGACACTAGCTTAGGTAACACCTCCGTGTACATAAAGTTCTCATTGCTAAAGGATATTTCTGTATTCGTACTTTGACGAAGAAATTCATTTTGAGAAGCTATTTTGACAACCATCTTGAGGCTTCCATTTTCTCCTTCTATGTTGATTCTCTTCACATTTGCAACAAAATTATCACCAGCTTTACCGACTGGTTGAAAAACTACTTTATTGACACTCAATCCTTGTTCTTCAATCACTTTATTGATGAATTGTATTTGGTGTTCGTTTAAGTTGCCAACGTCGCCTTCAAAGTTGTGTTGTGCCATTTTGATTATAATATTATTTTGATCAAAACTGAAGTTTTAATTAGGGTCGCCATTCATTTATAGTGAGTTGTATCTACATATATCTGTATAATTTGTATTGTCATTACGGTTTAAGATAAGATAGCAATAATGTTATTTTTTAGTTGATTATATTCTAGTCATTAAGCTGTCTGTTTTCTTCCGATACAGACTGTCTGATAAATTAATTTTCACATTCAACCGTTTTTGTTGTTTGACCTGTGAAATTAACGAATTATGTTGTAGGCAGGTTAAAGGGGATTCTGTCATAAAATAACGGAGTGCTTAATTTACAAAATGCATCTATTGTTGACTTGGTAATCGGAATTATAAAAGCTAGAGACATTTTAGATACGACCGAAATTATCCAAAATCAACTCAAAACCTTTAGATTAATATCTATTTTTGACATTAGTTGTATGGAGTTTCTATTAAATATAGATTGAATAGAATCAATTGTTAATTTTGGTTGCTATCAGACATTTTTATTTGCGTTTCACAAGCATGCTATTTACTGCTCATAAGCAAAAAGTAGGCGCTTGTTGTAGTCGTATATTTTTAGTAATATCATTAAAATTACTTATTACCCTTTATTATCATCATAAACTGGTGCACTGCTTTGTTTAGCAGAACTAAGGCGTCTACGTCGTACAAACTTTCATTCACTTTACCACTTCATTACATTTTTTTGTTAAACATAGTAGGATTTTCTCATTAAGTCGAGTAGGCTGATGTTATGTTATGTTTTTACCACTTATTATATGCAATTTGTAGTATAAGTGTACTAATTATCACCAGATAAGAATTTTGTAACAAAAATCCAAAACACATCAAAGTTTCTTTAGATCCAAAGTTACACTTCGCAACTAATTGAAGGAAATAAATTAGCTCAAGTACGGCACAGTCACTGCTGCTTCTATACAATATACTTAGATTTTATATAGCTATTTCAAGGTCACATATATGTATGTATAAGCGCAAAAACCAGACGAGGAGGTGTCGTTTCGTGATTTTTTTTAACAAAAAATATATTTATAAAAAACAGTAAACAAAAGATCACGCATAACATAATATAATTTATTTCCAAAAGAGTAGACAGAAAAGACAATTGATGATTTCATTAAGTGTAAAAAAATCTGACGGAAAGCCTAGACACGGCGGGGAATTTTTAGTTTTGTAATCTATAAGCAATGATGATGAAACAGAAAAGCAATTACCTATATATATGAATGGACATTGTTCAATGATTATTTGTATTTTAGGCTTAGCGTTTGCGTTATCAGTAACATTAGCGACCACACGGAATAAAGATTTAAAAGATTAAATAAAGCCATTTCAGTATGATGCGACATATATAAACAATGTATTAAAAATCATTGTGATTTTCAAATTTAAAGGAACAAAATTTAAGAATGATACCTCACTGCGATTTAAACAATGGAACTACTTTAAAAATTATCTAATCTGCAAACGATTCGGTACATAGTATGTACAACTGATGATACAACAAGCTATAAATAAACCAAATACAAACATAGCACTCCATTCAGTTTTAGGAAGCTGTAGGTAAACATGGCACGCTACAACTTCGAAGGAAATTTCGCGAATCTAAGTGATCGCCAAGCAGAGTTCATTAATGAAGTGATAAGAAAACAAGATTTGAATGTCAACAAAGTTGTTTTCCATACAGTTGGGAAGGCTGATGATAATTTCATGGCTGATGTAAAACGAATCGGCATAGAAGGTGACAAGGGAAGTATGAAGATGATTGTGAAAATTGCATCTGCAAATGAAAATGTTCGTGAATTCTCATTAAGTGAATACTTATTTGGTAATGAGCATTTTATGTATATGGAAGTACTACCTAAATTTGTGTCACTGCAGAAAGAAGCAGGAGTACCAGAAGAAGAACAACTAAAGTACGCAAAATGTTATGGATCTTTGAACGAAGCACCAAACGAAGTGGTAATATTAGAAGATTTGAACGAATCAAATTTTAAAATGCTGAATAAGTTTGAATCTCTATCTGATGAATGCGTTAGAAGCATTTTAAAGAATTTCGCAATTCTCCATTCTTTGTCGTTCGTATTGAAATACCAAGAACCAGAGACCTATGAAGCTTACAAAGAAAAACTTCACAATGTGTGGAATATCAGAGCTGGTTTGCCAGGAGTGAAACAACAATTTCAGAGTCTCGAAAATCTAATTTTGTCAACACTAGATAAAGAAGAATATAGAAACGTAATTAAAAATACAGTAACTTGTTTACCAGAAAATATGTTAAAGGCTTCAAAACTCTGGGACAATCCGTATTCCATCATTCAACAAGGCGATGCTTGGACCAATAATATCATGTTCAAGTTTGATGTAAGTACACATTACGTAACTGTAGCGTAATTTTGGCTACTTACTTTTGTGCTTTATTTATTTTACAACCTATGACTATAATTGGCACCCTGGTGGTCGATTTTTCATCCAGCTATCAAATGCTATTTTTCGATTAGTTATCGTTGCCCATGCCAATTAGTTTTGACAGCATTTTAAATAATTTTAGTTATAATAATAGTAATATTTTTTAATTACTTAAATGTTATAACATAATATGTTAGTCCCCGAAGGGGTAGGCAGAGGTGTACATTATGCCACTATACAACGTAACACCCACTTTTCACTACTTATGTTATGAGTCCCATGTAATAGGGGTGAGCCTATTGATATATACCGGGCACAATTCCAGACTCCGTGTTACTACTGAGAATTTTTAAAATTTCAATATCAAATATCAATAACTTGCATATATCTTAGACTAACATACGATATGATTATTTCAGGGTGACGAACTACAAGAATCAATAATGATAGACTACCAATTATCAAAGGTCAGCAGTCCAGTCATTGACCTTCTTTACATGACCTTGAACTGCACCGACTATGAGATCAGAACCAAGAACTTTTACAGCTGGTTGGACTATTACCACTCAGAGTTAGACAAATCCTTGTCATACTTCGATTTGAAAGCTGACTTGATTTATCCACGGGACCAGCTAGACGCTGACATAAAAACCTACATCAAATTACTATTACCTTTGTCTTTTATGCTGGCTAATCTTTTGATGAGAGATGCAAACGAAGCTGCGAAGATGAAAGAAGCTATGGTAGACAGTGGTTTAGAAGGAGTTACTACGTCGATGGTGAATCAGGCAGTTCAGAATGTTACGTTGCTTCGAACAAGGAAAAAAATAGAGGGTCTTATTGATAGTGTCACTGAGCTAGGTTTACTCGATAATTAGAATTGAATTTAGTTTTATTGTGGTTTTGTTTGTGTATACTAATATAATTATACTAGAAGAGGTCATGCGAGAAGTATAAATGGTAATGAATCGAGTATTCTGTGTCTGTTGTAGATGATTGTTTAGAGATAATGTAAATAATATGTGTTGTTAAATATTTCAAACTTTATGCTGTTAAAGGCTTAAATATAGATTACAAAAAACATTTAATTTAATTATAATATATGACATCTATCGGAATACAACTAAGTACCATATCAAGTATAACCTAATAAGATCATCTATCACACAATAAAAACTTTTAATTAAGAGTAAGAGTTAAGTATTGTGTATTATTTGTTATGTATCTATCGTAGGTATAGGTATATACCACCACAGATGGGGCCTAACAAGGCTGATGCCGATACGGAGCCGCGGAAGACTTAACGGGTTGCCGGGGCTCCGGCTCGAAGTGCAGGAGTAGGAACGGGGTGGTTTTTAGTCAGTAAGAGTCTGACACTCCCTCCCGCCTCACCCAGGCGGGAGAAGTCATTGGATGATTTTCCCCCCTCAAAAAAAAAGGTATAGGTATATGTATTTTATTGAGATCTATTTATTTAATACATTATTTATCGGTTTTATTTTGTGTAAATAACTAGTTTTAAGTCCTTACAGCCAAAATTTTGGTAACTCATGTTTTTTTTTGTTCTTGCTATGTTACACTCAGTGTCTTAGTTTTTACTGTTTTTCCTATCCAAGGACTGTAGGAAGAGATTCTTAAGGGAATATGTAGTACCAATTTGTTAATTTATGTATTCTCCTGGGTATTATCTGTGTGTTGTGCATAAATTAATAAAAAAGTTAATTAAGAATGTGATCCTAATTTGAAGCCACTTGAAGCATCCTTGATCAAAGCTGCGGCCGATATTGTCATGGAACTCGTGGGTGCTGCCGTTGACGACTGGTCGCGCGTCGTCTATTAAAAATCACGGGGTTCATTTTGAAAAAAACGTAATAACTATAAATAGTAACCTTTTGGTATTATAGGTTATTATTGAAACAAACACGTCATAATTATTTCATCATAAACACGTGACGGTACTTATGACCTGACTAAACTTGTATTTTTTTTATTTTCCCATAATAATGCTATGTAAAACTTTTTTATTAAACCTAGAATGATATTACAAACGCAAAACAAAGCTCAAACGAGTAGATAAATACATATAAAACAAAGGATTAAATTACAAATAATTAGTCATACAATTTAATCTATGTGAGCGCGTGGCCTATCAAAGACTTTTTGATAAAAGAAATTGACATAATCATCGTTGCTCGCATGTTTTTATCAGAACAATTAATTATGAAAATATTGAGAAATAATTTGCAAAGTTTTATAACTATAGTCAGCAGGTGTATTGTGTAGTTTACAGTATTTCATCTGAAATCATATACTTATAGAAATTTTAATAGAAATACACAAGAAGGACCTAAGATGAAGAAGATCTTACTAATATTGTAAATGTACAAGTTTGTGTGTGTATGCTTTTTACTCAATCATGTCAAAACGACTGAACAGATAAAAAGCACTTAGGCACTTTTTATCCCATATCAGAAACACTAGCGAAGCCGCAAGCAGAAGCTATAAAATCAAGTCAAGTCAAGTTTTCCTATAAAGTCATACTTAGTCTGCTACTGGCCGCAGAAAAAAACAAATCTGCTTATTTTTGTTGATTTGTTTAGGCTGCCACACTTACTTTTATTTCTTTGTCTTTATAATAGTAATTAATTACCTGATTCTGAACTTGCATCGGCATGCTCGTAAAAAGATATCAACATTTAAAATTTTTCAACACATCATAGTCCATAGTGCTCAGTCCATAGATAAAACAAAAAAATACACAAAAATACGTAAGTAGGATGTCCGAGCAAAGAGCCTTGAGTTTGATATTGAGAACGAGTAAATAATTGATAGGGTCATTCAGACAACCCTACATCATTTTTCCTTACCCGAAGAACTTTAACCAGATTAAGGTATTTAGATAGCTTATGATCTTTGGATGTTCTTCAAGTTTAAACAGCATTTGGAGGACACGTAACGATGGTTGGTGACGTTGCAATACGTGTTGACGACGTCATTTGTTCGATAATCCGATAGATAACTCCAAAGTACATTGTCCACAGTCAGATTCCACAGAAAAATCTAATAATACTGACAATGAATATGCAAAAAAAGACACTCATATCTAATCTAAACGTACATCAAAGTTAATTATCACTCTTCAGTACTATAAATATAAGAAATTAAAAATTTCGAAGCAGTATCAAAAACAACCATGGGGCAGTACAAATTCGAAGGAGATATTTCAAGTTTAAATGAACGCCATATAGCGTTCATGAGTAAAGTGATTTCTCAGCAAGATATAGAAGTTAAAAAAGTGACATTTCATTCAGTTGGAAAGGTAGGTGACAATTACGTAGCAAATGTGAAAAGGATTCACATAGAAGGCACTAATCGAAGCATGAAGATGATTGTAAAAATAGCACCTACAAGCGAAGTATTTCGGAAATCACTTCATGTGGACGCTGCATTCAACCGTGAACAAACCATGTACACAGAGGTGCTACCTAAGCTAGTGTCACTGCAGAAAGCAGCAGGTGTACCAGAAGAAGAACAACTTAGATACGCAAAATGTTACGGATCTCTAGACGAAGCACCAAACGAAGTGATAATGTTAGAAGATCTAGGTGAACTGGATTTTGTGATGTTGGATAAGTACGTGCCCTTACCTGACGAATGTGTAAGGAGTATGTTAAAGAACTTTGCCAACCTTCATTCTCTTTCATATGTGTTAAAGAAAAAAGAACCAGATACTTTTGATAACTATAAAAGTAAGATGAAAAGTCTATGGCCCCTTGTTGTTGGAAATCCAGAATTTGTAGCAAATCTTGAACATATTGAAGGAGCAGTACTGTCTGTGCTTGATGACGAAGTATATAGAAGTGTAGTCAGAAATAAAATACCAGATTTGTTTAACACTTACTTGAAGCTGGTGAAAGAAGATGTTGGCAAAAACGGAGTAATTACTCAAGGCGATGCTTGGACAAACAATATCATGTTCAAATATGTGGTAAGTGTTGTAATAAAAATAATTCAATAATTCAATAATCAAATATTTCGCAGTGTATATGATACCTAATCTTATTGTACTCTTAAACACTTCAGAAATATATTATTTTGAACATATAATTAATTGTAAGGTATGCCAAATTAAATAAAATCAAAGCGAGTAAAGCTCTATTAGTTTTTAGCCCCACCGGGACTCATATTCATGAGCAGCTTAATGTCATCAGCTTCCTATTTAAAACTAGTACAATTTTTCTCGAATAATAGGCTGAAACTATTTTAATTACTCCAGGCATGGTTTAATAAGATAATATTTTTATTATTTACAGGGAGACACATTGGTTCAGTCAATAATGATTGACTATCAAATATCGTACCACCACAGTCCAGCGATGGATCTCCTCTACATGATCTTCAACTGCACAGACCATGAAACCAGGTCTAAGAACTTCTACGACTGGATAGACTATTACCATTCAGAATTAGATAAATACTTGTCAAATTTCGGCTTGAAAGCTAACTTAGTTTGTCCAAGAGATCTCTTGGATGCTGATATCAAAAGATTTGCTAGACCTATGATGGGTGTTTCCTTACTATTATTCAACATGTTATTAAGAGATGCTAAAGAAGCAAGTGTTGTAGTGGAAAATATGAATGCTGGTGGATTTTTGGAAGCAATTAAATCAATGAGCGGACAAGAATTGCAAAAGGAAAGCTTAGCTCGTGGCAAAAAGAGAATGGAAGATTTGATTAATAGTTGCATTCAATTAGGTTTTATATAATCATTAATAGAAAACATTAAATCCGGTCTTATTGGAACTAAATACTCATGGAATGAAGTCAAGCAATTTTTACTTAAGAAATGTTTTAATAAATGTTAAAAAAATATTGAAAGTTTTATTCGGTGTAACTTAATCTGTCAAACACCAAGCGATCACCGGTGACCGCGACCTATTGTTCTTTAATTGTGTCTATAAAACCGGTACTCGACGAGTTAATGTATTTCCATCCAAGGATATTAACAAGCTTAGGAATAAGAACAGATTTTTCTGAGGGGATACATTTTTTGAAGTTACATTATTTTTAATTATTTTCATATTTAACCAATTTCAAAAAGGGAGGTTCTCAGATTGACCTGTATGTATGTATGTGTGTATTATATTTATATCAGTCTGTACTCGATTATCTCACGACTGAACTGATTTTGACGCGGTTTTCGGAAATGTGTTTATTACACCTAAGAGACGGTTTTAATATAGTATTATTTAACCAAATTAAAAAAGAGGGTTGATGTCGATTTTTTTAAGATAATTTATAGAAAAATTATAAACTTACATGTTATACATCACAAAATAGGTTAATTTCATCATTCGTTCAATAATCTGATAAATTAATATTAGGTATTCGTATACCTAATATTTGATTTTTTATTGGTAACGATGATTATGCAAAAACACTAACCGTTATCTAATCAAAATAAACATCATGTTATCTCAAGTTTTAATTATTTTATCATTTTATTTGAACTATAAATACAAGAACTCAAACATTCTTCAACACAGTATTAAAACTAACCATGGCACAGTACAAATTCGAAGGAGATATTTCAAATTTAAATGAACACCATGTGGCGTTCATAACTAAAATTATTTCTGAGCAAGATATACAGGTCAAAAAAGTGACATTTCATTCAGTTGGAGAAGCAGGTGACAATTATGTGGCAAATGTGAAAAGAATTAACATAGAAGGTGCTAATAGAAGCATGAAGATGATTGTGAAGATCGCACCTACAAATGAAGTAGTCCGTAAATCAATGCATATTGAGGCTGCATTCAATCGGGAGCAAGTTATGTATATAGAAGTATTACCTAAGTTGGTTTCACTACAAAAAGCAGCAGGCGTACCAGAAGAAGACCGTCTAAGATACGCAACATGTTACGGATCTCTAGACGAAGCACCAAATGAAGTGATATTATTAGAAGACTTAAGTGAATCAGATTTTGTGATGTTGGACAAACACACATCTTTAACTGATGAATGTGTGAAAAGTATTTTAAAAAACTTTGCTAATCTACATTCACTTTCATACGCGTTGAAGAAAAAAGAACCAGACACTTATGATCACTTTAAAAGTACATTACGTAGTCTGTGGCCACTTATTGCTGAAACTCCAGAATTTGTATTAAATATCGAACATATTGAAGGAGCAGTACTGTCTGTGCTAGACGATGAGATATATAAAAGTGTAGTCAGAAATAAAATGTTAGATATGTTTAAATCCATGGTAAAAGTAACGAAAGGAGATGCGGGCAAACATGGAGTGATTATTCAAGCCGACGCTTGGACTAACAATATCATGTTTAAATATGTGGTGAGTGTAATTCCACCTAATAGTTAAAATACGTCATTGAATAGAAATTGTAATATATTATAGTGTTATCTTAACTTTCTTGTTATTCTGCTTCGTGAGATCTAAACTAATCCAGGAAATTCTTTAACGCTGCTGTTATGATCATATGCCTAAATTATATTTTTCTGTTCACAGGGAGACACATTGGTTCAATCAATCATGATTGACTACCAGTTATCTTATCTACAAAACCCTGCGATGGACGTTCTTTACATGATCTTCAACTGTACCGATCACGAGATGAGATCCAAGAACTTCTATGACTGGATAGACTATTACCATTTAGAACTAGATGAAAACTTATCAAACTTTGGCTTAAAAGCTAACTTAGTTTATCCAAGGGATCAGTTAGATGCTGATTTAAAAAGATTTGCTAAACCGATACTCGGTTTGTCATTACTAATATGCAATCTATTAATGAGAGACGCTAAAGAAGCTAGTGTTGTAAAAGAAAAAATGAATGCTGGTGGATTTTTTGATGCAGTTAAATCAATGAGCGAACAAGAATTGGAGAAGGAAAGCTTAGCTCGTGGCAAGAAGAGAATGGAAGGCTTGATTGACACTTGTATTAAATTTGGTCTGATATAAGAGATGTTTTTGACTGACTTTATTATTAAGTCTAATTAACTCGTCGAGTACCGTATTTATAGACACAATTAAAGAACAATAGGTTGCGGTCACCGGTGACCGCTTGGTGTTTGACAGATTAAACTGTCAAACACCAAGCGGTCACCGGTGACCGCGACCTATTGTTCTTTAATTGTGTCTATAAAACCGGTACTCGACGAGTTAAGTAAGTATACATCATAACGTTGAAATAAATGTGAAAATTAATATCTAATGATTTTGTTTTTTCTAACCAAGTTGTAAGTAACCCTCTATAAAATAACGTTCAATTTTAGACCAAAATTACATAGATATCACTGCCATATTCCTTTCACTAACTTTTTTGTTAAAGAAGAAAGCAAACAATTCAAAATTATAAGTGATTGCAGATATTTTTTTTTGAGGGAGGAAAATCATCATATTTCTTTTTTGCCCGGGTGAGGGAAGAGGGAGTGTCAGACTCTTACTGACTAAAAAACCACCCCGTTCCCACACTGAGCCGGAGCCTCCGAATAAATTTGAAATGCATTTAAAAAAAAAACTTACAATCACTCTCATTTTAATGGACACTTGGGTACAGAACGAAAACTCGATGATCAAAATTTTGCTCGGACTATTTGTGATACATTTATGCAAATTCATTACAAGCATTTTCGTTTAAAAATAATGACTACTATATATATCGATGGGTGCCCAAGACAAGGTTCATCAACAACAGCTAACAGCTGGAGATTATGGTAAGTTCCTAAAGTATGTACCACAATCACATGAGCATAATTGAGCGGTGTCAAACTGTGAAAAACCGCGAGGACACCGGTGACCGCAACCCATTGTTCTTTAATTGTGTCTATAATGACGGGACTCAAAGGGTTAAACCTATAAAAGACAACACTAACTCTTCCTTCACGTGGTGTGGATTTTTTTTTTCTAAAACACTCATAAAAATGTGTTTTGCGGTGCTCTGGCTTCAAAAGTACTTATATTACAAAAAAAATGTTCAACATAAACTGTAGCAATTTGTGAGTAGTTTAATTTTGTACTTGACAGTTTTCTCATAAAATGCACAGGAAAAGAAATATTGTAAAATACCTGTTTTTGGCCACCATTTTGTCAAGATGGCGGTGCGAGCGGTGCACGTACAAAGGGGCAAAATGGATATTGAAAAGAGCACATCAAATTCTACAACATTACCGATTTTCAAAACTCGTATATTTATCTTCTTACTGTGATGAATATTTAGACTAAGCGGGTAGTACTAAGACTGGTAGAGAATGCCATATGGCATTAAGTTCGCCTTATGTGCATAATAAAATTGTGTACATAAAATAATAAATAAAATAAGTAAGTTATATTGTTAGTTAAGGTTGAGTAATGTTGTCACCACTGCCGCAACAGTCTGCGAATATATGTTATCTCATATGTGCTATCGAGATGTCCCTTGTTTTATTCCGCTCCTAGTTGACAAGAGACCTGCATACACATATTCTTCACTTACTTATCGGACTATAAAGAGTTAGTAACTTTCTATATAAAGGTTTCTTATATAAATTAGTAATGGACAATAATAGGAAATAATTATCATTTATTATTTTAGAAACATCGAATTATTAAATTAACAAGTTTAGTAATACATTTAAACATTCTTAGCTAAATTCAAAACATTATAATTCTTTAACAGATATTTTGCACTGCATTAGACACACATACACAAACAGTATGTACTATAACAATCTTAAAACAAAAATCAAAAGAATAATACTCTGTCTAACCCTAGTAAGTTGCACGGCAACCGGTTGCCCAGCCACCGCATCAACCGTACAGTCATTTAAAGCTGAGGTACAATACAATTTAAATTTCCTATATTTAAACAGTTATACAAGTAGTCTTAATGCTAACAACCTACTCTAGCAGTCAACCTTTGGATTGCCAGGTCACTTAGGTTCGTTACTACCATTTTAATAAGACTTAACATCTCAGTGGCGCAATCTGATGGACAACAAAAACACTAATTCAATTACAAACAATCAACATAATCTCAGAACAAATCGAAAGCAATATAACTATCAATTAACCCAACCAGTCTTTTCTTTAGAAGGACAGCAGTTTCATCGTGAATATTAGTTAGTGCTTCTGATATATCATCAGCATCAGAAGCTGAAAATGCATCTTTAAATTTACCAGCTTCTTCAGGATTAGCTGTTAGTATACCTGAGATTAAGACATTACAACCAAATGCTAATTCAGCATATCTCTTCAAATCACCATCGAGCTGACTTCTAGGATACACGTTATCCACTTTGAAACCATACATCTCTAAAGATTTTCCCAATTCAGCGTGGTAGTAATCTAACCAGTTGTAATAGTTATTGATTCTAGTTTCATGGTCTGTGCAGTTGAAGATCATGTATAGTAGATCGTTGGCTGGACTGGAAATCTTCGACAGTTGGTAATCAATCAGTATGCATTGCTTCAAGACCTTGCCCTGAAATATAAAAGATAGAAATTAATGTAAACAAACAATTAGACCAGGAAGGCACTTTTGAACGTCAAAAACAAAATAGTTAATATTAAATAATAACAAAAAATGTCAGTCTGTAGGTCAGTCCTGTAGTGAAGCTATTTACTCGTTCCAAAGTGTAAATTCCTATGGAGAAGGACGAGCAAATACTAAACTACCGGCGTACATCGGTAACAAAATGTTAGAAAATTCTCGAGATAGAAAATTCATAATTTTTGGGCTACTTGTACATTAAGCCCAACAGTAGTAAGGACAGATAAAGGTTCCAAAGGTTAGTTATTATTTAAAAATTAAATCTGCACGGTCATCCTTACCCAATATTTTGTAGGCTTTTTTATCGTTTTGGAGTTTTGATTGTATTTAATAATTTTATATCTGTATATATTACGAAACCCAATATAAACTGATAACTATGATCTTGTACGCGTTTTAACTGTCCAGTCAATCTTCAGACCATATTTTTTTACTCCTTATTACAATGATATGTATGCAGAGAAGAATGAAATCTATATAGATGAGCTTTAAGGTCTGAATTTATTCATTAAAATTTCGCTGGACAGTTGGATAACTTAATAAAACTTTACATCTCTGAATTTCGTATGTTCGTCGTTTAGTTTTACGAAATCTCGACACAGTTTTAAAACTTTTGTTTGTTTTTTATTTTAGGATTTTGATACTATTTTAGGATTATAATTTATAAATTTAAAAAAATATAATTAAAATTCTTACCTCAAACTTAAATAAAATATTGTTGGTCCAAGAATCTCCATGTTGAATAACTGAATATGGGCTCTCATGTTCATACGCTGTCATTTTCGCTGTTTTTGCTGGCATCTGACTTACTTTATTCTTTATCATATCTTTATGTTTAGGGTCGTCCAGCATATTGATAGACACGTTTTCCATCTGCTCAAAAGAGGCCTGCTCTTCTGGAGGCAAATCGACCAACTTTCCCCACATATCTTCAAAATGGTCCTTGAAATATTTAAAGCTTTCGGGGTCTTTATTCCTTAGTACAAATGAAAGGGAATGAAATATTGCTAAGTTCTTCAGTACCCTAGTTACGCATTCGTTCGATAGAGATTTCATTCTGTCCATTATAGTAAATCCTTCTACTTTAAGGTCTTCCAATAGTATTACTTCGTTTGGAGCTTCAATATTTGTTCCATAGCATTTCGGGAACTTTATTTGTTCGTCTTCTGGTACCCCTGCATCTTTCTGTAGTTGCAACAACTTTGGTATGTATTCCGAGTACATTAAATGCTCATTACCAAACGAAAGTGCTGCATTTAAGCGATATCGTGCTATTTCATTTATTGGTGCAATTTTGGCAATTATCGATAGAGTTCCTTTTTCTCCTTCTACTTTGATTCTTTTTACATTTGCAGCATAGTTGTCACCCACTGCTCCTGCTGCGGCAAATGTCACTTTACTGCCTTTAAAACCGTGTTCTTCTATTACTTTGTTGATAAATTCCAACTGTTTTTCTGTGACATCTTCGAAACTTCCTTCGAAATTGAACGGCGCCATTGTAACGTGATTTGTGGCACTAGAAATAATGAATATAATGTTATTTTAATGCTTGTATATATAGGTGCAGCTGATCTGCTATCTGAAAAATAAACCCTTGAGCATGATGTTTATAATTTGGTTTGATTAGATATAAATTTATTACGATTAAATAGATACGTAGTAATTATTTCACAATACGTGTGCTTCTAATTTTAGGTTGTTGACAATGAGAAATCATTTTTATCACAGAAGACTGGATATACTGTAATACTACATATTTAAAGTTTAGAACTGTATACAATTGCTAAGCTTCTAAGATATAATAAATAATATAATTAATCAAGTAAAAATGCTAAGTCAGCGTTATTATTTGTTTTACTTTGGAAGATTATAATTTGCTTTTTAGAACAATGCGCGCAATTTTTGATATAATTATAATTATTATTTGAGAATTGAGAATTAGACAATTGCAGGAAAGTACAAAAACATTTTAACCTACTAGAAATTTTGAAACGGAACAATCCAATAATTCGTAAAAAAAACCGAATACCAACTCCGGGAATCTAGTTCGAGATCTTACATTACTCAGTCTCATTTGCGACCACTTAACAAGCAAATTAATCAGATATAAATATAATAATAATTATTGCTTTGCATTATCGACTTGTTGAGTCTAAAGTATCATACTACAAGTATGTGCCCGACTCTGTTCTGAAATATGACTATATCACTTTATACTGAGACCAATCATCACTGACAGGACTATTTATTTATTTTTATTTATTTATTTTTTTAAAACGTTGCCCCACACTAGGATTTTCTCCTGTGTCGTGGGTGCGTTTACAAACATACAAGTTCACATACACAATGACACCCAGACCCGAAACAACAATTTGTGGATCACACAAAGTGTTGTTCCGTGCGGGAATCGAACCCGCGACACGTTGCACTGCAGCCGGTTGCCCAGCCACCGCACCAACCGTGCAGTCAGAGGACTATTGTAGCCAATAAACCTAATCATAGTGATGATAGAATGGCAAGTGCACCGCACAATGACAATTGATGTCACCATTCCCCATGACGAGAACTTCGTGAAAGCTAAGAAAAATAAACAAATAAAATATCTAGACTTAGCTCACGAGGTTGTCGACATGTGGAGTATGGATTCGGCTATCATTGTGCCGATAGTCGTGTCAGCTAAAGGGGTAATTCCTTAAAAGCCTCAACATCCACCGTAGGAGATTGGCATTAGGTTAATGAATCAAGGGCCTGATACAGACGGCAGTTCTCCTAGAAACAGCACGTATCGTGAAGAGGTTTCTGTCTTAGAGCCCTAACCACCGGTAGCTTGGACCATGCTCCCACTACAGGTCGGCTTCTATTGTTATGTTTTTAAAAATATTTTTTTAAGTAGTGTTTAACTCGTCGAGTACCGGATTTATAGACACAATTAAAGAACAATAGGTTGCGGTCACCGGTGACTGCTTGGTGTTTGACAGTTTAATAACATAATTTTTAACAATTTGAAATAAATACATGGGTAGTAATTAGATCTATATCTATATTTAATTTAATTGTATCCTTTTTTGAATGTGAAGTTATGTTGCCATGTGTTTTAGGAATGTCTATTCCATAACTATATTATGTAACTTGTACTTATTGCTGAACATACATATTTGGGTACTTATGTACTTTTGTATTTGTATTGAAAACATACAATTTACTATGTGTTCAAGGTCAATCCGTTGGATAACACTCCGTCTCACTTTTTTTGTATAAATTAATCTTCGGTTTTGGTTAAATATTTCCGCATTTGTTTTTATACCATGTCTTTAATAGTTGCCTCGATGGCCGAGTGGTCGCAAGTGCGACTCGGGCTTATTCGGCCTCGGCCGGGCAAGGGGTCTCGGGTTCGATTCCCGGGTCGGGCAAAGTATTACTGGTTTTTTTTAATTCTCAGTAGTAGCACGGAGTCTGGAATTGTGCCCGGTATATAGCAATAGGCTCACCCCCTATTACATGGGACTCATAACATAAATAGTGAAAAGTGGGTGTAACACTGTAGGTACAGAGGTATAATATGCACCTCTACCTACCTCTTCGGGGATAAAAGGCGTGATGTTATGTCTTTAATAGTGAAGTCTTCCTACCAGATATTAGGGCCTTCTTCCCCCGAGTTTCTCAAAAGTATGTGTATCAGTTATCAGTTATTTTGTCTGTATGTCAATATTTGGTCAGTTTTAAATATTACAAAGTGATGTTAGATTGCCTACGTCTATTTGTACTCAATCAACATATTTTTTTATTCATCTTTACTGTCAAGTATCATTCTTATCTATATTTCTGAAGATTGTAGTGTAAAATTTTCTTCAATTTTAAAATAAAACTTATTTCTCAGCACTGGCATGTTCTTCTCTGTTGCTATAAATTTAGGCGTTTGACCTCAATGTGAAAAAAAACATCGTGAAGCCCTTGAAACAGATATATAGGGAATGTCAGAGATGTATTAAAAAAAAACACACTACTGTCTCAATTATTCTCAGTACAGGATTTACGTTATCTAAAGTGCACATCCCATAGTAAAAAAGACACAAAAAATAAAGGAATACGTAAAATAATATTAATGATATTTGACATCTTAAATATGTAGGGGATCTAATGAACTTCTAATTAGTCCACAAAGAAGAAATAAAAGAAATAGCAGACTACAGAAAACTGACACGAAAACTTAAATAAATGTACCATCTACGTTCATACGTTTCTGTATATCTAAAGAAATCATCAGCCTCATCTTGTTACCACATTTTTTATTATTAGCAACTAAACGAGTTTGGGCAATCTGTCAATTTTTTACATAATATTATGTCTCAAGTTTCAACCGAGCTCAAATTATATACACACAAAGTACACATGCACTAGTATCAATGGCATTTCATTGCTACGTTAGTGGACAGACGACCTCTTTAGACACTAAATTCAACCAATCAAACTACCGAGAGTAAAACCAATTATTCAATAAATAAAATGATGTTACTGGCACAGTATACTTCAAAAAATTTGATAGAAATAAAAATCATAATATTACCTAAGTGTTAATCCCACAATTCTGTATCCAATATACTTTGAAATGACACAGGACGTGTAGATGTATTGTTGGATTTATTGTCGCTCAAACTGACAGCACGAGATGGTCACTAGGAGGTTCAAAGGCGAGTAGAGCACGTGAGAAATTCAACCAATCATTGACCATAATCCGTTCCGTTACTAGATACGCCATGTTTTGGACATCACAGATTATGTAATAGTGAATGAGGTGTTTGACCTCATGTCGACATTACTTAATCGCTCAATTCTATCTGTCTTTTTTATGAAATAAGTCGCCATTATTGTAGTGTGTGGTAAGCCATAATACTACTAGCTAATTGTAATTTATTGTATCCATTTTTATTACACTATCAATTGTTGACGTAGAGTTTATCCGGATGCAGATAAGAAACAAACACGTATAAGTATACGATATGGTCGCATATAAAAAGAATAACGTTCGTTAATATAATTTTAGTCTCAATTCAACTGTGACTGTGGAGTGACATAATGACGGAGTATAATTTCGAAGGAGATTTCTCTAACTTAAGTGAACGTCAACTAGAGTACATCAACAAAGTGGTTTTAGAACAAAATTTAAAAGTAAACAAAGTAGTATTCAATTCATTTGGACAAGCTGGTGATAATTTTGGGGCAAATGTGAAGAGAATCAGCATAGAAGGAGAAAATGGAAGCATGAAGATGATTATTAAAATTGCAGCTGTAGATGAAATAGTACGTAAGTCAATGTTTACTGAACATTTGTTTTATAATGAGCATGTTATGTACACAGAGGTACTACCTAAACTAGTGGCACTGCAGAAAGCAGCAAGAGTACCAGAAGAAGAACATCTAAGATACGCAAAGTGTTATGGATCTCTAGATGAAGCACCAAATGAAGTGATAATGTTAGAAGACCTTAAGGAATCTGGTCATATAATGTTGGATAAGTACGAACCGTTACAAGATGACGTTGTGAGAAATATTTTGAAAACTTTTGCAATTTATCATTCTTTATCTCACGTCTTGAAGAATAAAGAACCAGCTACGTACAAATGTTTTGAAATTAAGTTAAGAGATGTGTGGTCAGTGATGTCTGCAACACCGGAATATACGAACAATTTTAAAGGCATTGATGACGCTACTGTATCAATTGTTGAGAACGAAACTCACAAGGACATCGTCAAAAATAGAATAACAAATATGTTTAAACTGGTCCTTAAACTAGTTAAAGAAGAAAATACTAAATATTCTGTCATTCAACATGGTGATGCTTGGACGAACAATATCTTGTTCAAACTTGTGGTAAGTGCTTTTATTTATTTTAACTTCTGTAATGTCTCTCTGTTTTGACGCATTACTTCTTATGCCACGAATTCAAACTTGTGTGCAATGACAATTAATAATATCATTCGGCGTCGTAGTCGTCATTTGTCATCACAACATCCGAAGCCGTCGCAACAGCTGGCAGCCCAAAATAGAAAAAAAATATTAAGAATCTTTTTTAAAATATTTTTTTTATGTTCATTTTCAGGATGGTGAAGTAGGACCCTCAACAATGATTGATTACCAAGGAGCTAGAAGAAATAATCCTGTGATGGACATCCTTTACATGATCTTCAATGGAACCGACTATGAGACTAGAAAAAATAACTTCTACAACTGGTTGGACTATTACCATTCGGAATTAGATAAATCCTTGTCGTACTTTAGTCTTAAAGCTGACGTAATATATCCCAGGGACCAACTGGATGCTGATGTGAAGAAATATAGTGAATTAATATTTGGTGTAGTTTTATTCACAAGCAATATTTTGAACAGGGATGTAAATGAAACCAAAGAAGTGATAGACAATATGGAACACAGTGGGCTAACTGAACTAATATCTTCAATGGCAAACACTAAAATGAAGGCTGAATCTGAAAACCGTGCGAGAAAGAAAATTGAAGGAATAATTGATAGTTATACTGAATTTGGATTTTTTGATCATTTTCAAATTAAATAATTGAAATTAATTTATAATATAGAAATTGTTATAGAAACTGACGACTAGTGAATATACTTCCCGTAAATACAATTTATTTCAAATATTGTATTTTTGTAATTTTTTATTATTGGTCTCCTAATAATTTGCTTTCACATTATTTTTCGGAGCTAAATAAACTGCCATTACATACTTAAATAATAGCATTTTTATTTATTTGACTTTGTTGAAATTGATACCAAATTATACAGGACGTACTAGCGAAATCATGAGTTTGAAAAAAACATGAGAGCATTCGTCGGCAATATTGTTAGAGTTAATGTTGTGTGATTTGGCCCCGTTAAAGGGTACACAAGGGTGCAAAACCAGGTGCAAGACACCATTGCACCAATCTGTTGGTCGCACCAACCAGTTCGGCTGTTAACAATCAACTTTTACCTAGTGGAAATATTCCATCTTCGATAGAAGCGGTTCATCGGAAAAATCACAGCATTAACAACAATAATAAAGACATCGCAGTAACTGAAGAAGACTGCCTCGTGTGCCGAGTGGTTGCAAGTGCGACTGCCGGGCAAGTGGTCTCGGGTTCGATTCCCGGGTCGAGCAAAGTATTACTGGGTATTAAAAAATACTCAGTAGTAGCACGGAGTCTGGAATTGTGCCCAGTAATAGCAATAGGCTCACCCTATTACATGGGACTCATACCATAAATAGTGAAAAGTGGGTGTTACATTGTACAGTGGTATAATGTGCACCTCTGCCTACCTGTTCGGGGATAAAAGGCACCTTACACTTGGCGCGACTTTGTCCAGATTTCATTACTTTTTAGAGATGAATAAGCAGCTCTATCAAGACTTGGGTATTTTTTACAGAAGGTTTTTGATTGAATACACACTTGGCGCGACTTTGTCCAGATTTCATTACTTTTTAGAGATGAATAAGCAGCTCTATCAAGACTTGGGTATTTTTTACAGAAGGTTTTTGATTGAATACATACTATATACTGCCTCTAAGTATACATATTATATACTGCCTCTAAGTCAGCCCATATCCCGCCTATTAACCAAATCATCAAAATCCGTTCAGTATTTTCAACGTGATTGACGGACAAACATCCAAATAAGAGAAATTTTATTATTTATCAAATTAGTGTGATAACAATTGACAGAAATGTGAAAACACATCATCATCATCATCAACAGCCTATAAATGCCCACTGCTGAGCAAAGCCTCTTCTCACACGGAGAAGGTTAGAGCATTAATCACCACGCTTGCTCAATGCGGGTTGGCGATTTCAAACTTATAATTAGAAATTATAAGTCCAGGTTTCCTCACGATGTTTTTCCTTCACCGTTTGTCAGTGGTGTCTAAATAATCTTAGAAAGTACATATAACTCGGAAAAAGTCACATTGGTACTTGCCGTTGGTAGGTTTCGAACCCGCACCCTCATGCATGAGAAGTGGGCGTCTTAAACCTCCGGGCCACCACGACCTCACACATCTTTCGATTCTTCGATTGACGCATTTTACGATTAACTTTTAAGTACACTATTTAAAATTAATTTCGTTCATATACATATTTCTCAGAACTTTAGCAGGAATGAGTAATTTTGGGAGCACTAAGGCGAAATTTCTCGCTATTTATAAGTGAAGGTTGCTAAGCTACGTGAAGTGAAGGTTGCTTCCAATCACGTCGGGGGCACCACTTTAGAGAACAGAGAGTATAGTTCCCTAAGATCGGAAAAGGAGGATCCTCCGACCAGGCGAGGTGATCGTGCCTGGCGGGCTTTCTGCCCAACAGTTGTTCGTTGGGATTTTCTATCCGTGTTTATTCGCTTGTAAACTTTGCATGTGCGATGTAGGATTCTTGTGACGTCATCCGTTGACATGTGGCATGCGTCGCCACACTGTAATAAGAGAAAACAAATTTTTGTGTGCGTGTACGCGTGGCGGGCATTAAGATATTTAGATTAGATAATCTAAATTGTATAAAAAAATCACTTCATAATTCTTATAATGTTTCTGATATTGAAGCAGCTCAATGGCACAATATAATTTTGAAGGAGATTTCGATAATATAAGTGAACGTCAACTACAATATATCAACAAAATAGCATTATAACAGAACATAAAAGTAAAGAAAATAATTTTTCACTCATTTAGACAAGTTGGAGATAATTTTGTAGCAAATGTAAAGAGAATCAGTATAGAAGGAGAAAATGGAAGTATGAAGATGATATTCAAAATAGCTACTACTGACGAAACAGTGCTTAAGTCAGAGTTGACTGAATATTTGTTTCATAATGAACATATTATGTATGCAGAGGTGCTATCTAGGGTAGTGTCAGGAGTATCAGAAGAAGACCATTTAAGATATGCAAAATGTTACCGATCTCTAGATGAAGCACCTAACGAAGTAAGAATAGTTAGTTTTAGTGGATTTTTGTTGCTATTTTAAATGGATAATCCTGTACTTATTGTAAATACGATAGATAAATAAAAAGAAAAAAAAGAAGATCTGAAAGAATCAGGCCACATTATGTTGATACGAACCATTGCAACTATGATGCTATTATAAATGTTACCAAAAGCTTTGCAATTTTTCATTCTTTGTCGCACGTATTAAAGAACAAAGAACCGGAGACATACAATGAACTTGTCATTAAATTGAGACATGCTTGGGATTTGATGTGTAGTTCACCGGAATATATAAAGAGTTACAGGACTTGATGACGCTGTTCAATCAATTGTTGAGGTCGACACTCACAAGAAGGTGGTTAAGAATAGAATATCAAATATGTTTAAAATCACTGCCAAGTTAGCAAAGGAAGAGAATTATTGCTGTACAACGTGTAGTTGTTGTACATGCAGTATCTGCAGCGTCAAGTTTACAAACAATACTTTTACAAACAAGTTTTAAAAATAATACGTACGATTAGTTAACTAGTTTCATCTGGTTTACTTTTTTTATGACATAAGCCGGTAAACGAGCAAACGGATCACCTGATGGTAAGCGATCGGCGTCGCCCATGGACACCTAGAACACCAGAGGCGTTACAAGTGCGTTACCGGCCTTTTGGGGATTAGGAGTTTGAAGATCGTTGGGGATTCAGGAATTGGGGAGATTGGGGAAGGGGAGGGTAATTGGGCCTCCGGTAATCCCACTAACACGATGAAACAGAACGCAGGCGTTGCTTCACGTCGGTTTTCTGTGAGACCGTTGTATGACTCCGGTCGAGCCGGCCCATTCGTGCCGAAGCATGGCTCTCCCCCATTTGAACTTAACTGGTGGCATTTTAATAATCGTGAGGTGAGTAGCACATTTTAAGTCCTTTTATTTTCTCGTACGATGGAATAGAATTTTGATGAACATTAGTACTATTATTAAAATCAAAATAATAGAGTGCCTGTCAGAATTATCATACACGTATCTGCATTTTGGCGTTACAACCCGCACGAATATTAAAAAAGGCTTAGCCCTGCTCTGTCACCGCGTATTGTTGGCTGGCGCGTCATGGAGGAGGTGGAGACGTACTCCGACCACCGGTATATCCGGTTCGACGTCTCCGCCGAGTCCGCAGACCCGCCGGTCAGACAGGCCCCATGTGGCCCGCGTTGGGCGCTGAAACAGCTGGACCGGGAGCTGCTCCTGGAAGCCGCCATCGTGCAGGCCTGGGTGATACCACCGGTCAGGCCTGCCGACGTTGACGATGAGGCCAAGTGGCTCCAGGACGCCATGTCCAGGATCTGTGACGTGGCGATGCCCCGGATCCGGTCGAGGCAACAGAAGCGCCAGGTGTACTGGTGGTCGCAAGAGCTGGCGGCTCTGCGCAAGGCGTGCACTACTGCGCGACGCCAGTACACTAGGCACCGCAGGCGCCGTATCCGTCCTCCTAATGCGGAGGCGAGAGAGGCGGAGTTATACGAGGGATACAGGGCGGCGAAGGCCCTCCTCAAGGCGGAGATATTGCGGGCCAAGGAGGAGGCCCGCCGAGAGATGCTGGGGACTCTGAATAGAGACCCGTGGGGACGCCCGTACCTGATGGTACGCGACAAGCTCCGTGCTTGGGCTCCCCCGCTCACTCAGAGTCTCCGGCCAGAAGTCTTGGAGGAGGTGATTGGCGCCCTGTTCCCCCGACTGTGGAGGGGCTTCACCCCTCCGTATATGACTCCGCCCCCTGCGGTGCCCGACGCGGGCTATAGCGACGACGACGATGACATCGTCCCAGAGGTGACCGAGGCAGAATTGAGAGCGGCGGTGCGCCGGATGGGCGCCAAGAACACCGCCCCAGGACCCGACGGCCTGCATGGCAAGGCATGGGTCCTGGCCTCAGAGGCTCTCGGGCCTCGATTGATTGGTCTCTACAGCGCATGTCTGGAGAGAGGCCAGTTCCCGCTTCTCTGGAAAGCGGGCAAACTGGTCCTCGTGCGGAAGACGGGGCGCCCTGCGGACTCTCCGTCCGCGTACCGGCCCATAGTGCTGCTCGACGAGGTGGGGAAAGTCTTCGAAAGAATCATTTCGAACCGCCTCGTCGCGCACCTGACGGACATTGGGCCGGACTTGTCGGACGGCCAGTTCGGCTTCCGCAGAGGGCGCTCCACGGTGGACGCCATCATGCGCGTTAGGGACCTCACGACGGGGACTGCAGTGTCCAGGGGTAAGGTCGTAGTGGCGGTGTCTCTGGACATCGCCAACGCCTTCAACTCCCTGCCCTGGAGCTGCATCTTGGAGGCACTCCGATATCATCGGGTGCCTACCTACCTCCGTCGTGTAATCGGGGCTTACCTGACGGACAGGTCCGTCAGCTACCCCGGTCATACAGATATGCTACGCCGACGACACGCTGGTGCTAGCGCACGGGAGGTCGCACCAGGCGGCGGCCGACTTAATGGCGACAGCGGTTGCGACAGTCGTTGAAAGAATCCGGCAGTTGGGACTCGAGGTGGCGCTCCACAAGTCCGAGGCCATGTGTTTTCATGGCCGCGGGAACGCGCCACCTCCGGGTGGGTCCCAAATAACG